TTCGGCTAGTGTTCAATCGTTGTGCAAATTTCATCATCGGTCAACCAAAGAGCGCTACAACCCACTGGATTTCTATTGTCAAAGCTGCTCCATGGAAAAAAAGTAGATTTAATTTGCAGCCGCAATGTTCAAACAAAAACACGGCTGGAAATCAATCACAATCAAATACAAATTGACGAGTGGCAAAGTCAATCAATTGACCCACGGATTTGTAGAGAATTTCCACCCATTTTTTTTCTTTTAGTTTTTAACAAAGGATTTTTAAACCAAAGAAAATATTGAGCAGTTAAAAAATTGAGTTAAAGCGCACTTTAGTTTTGTAGATAACTAATGTTTTCCACCAATTTAATGGAAAGGATTTAAATTCATACATAATGATTTGATTATTTATAATTTATTTGATATTTTGACTGTTCGAATATGTTAAGATACCACTTAACCTTCTCTCACATCACTTTTATTTAAAAGGCACTGTCAATAATTGAGATATTTATTTACACTTTTGATTGCAGTTAAAACAAAGCGATAAGTAATGATTAATCACAGCGATAAGCACGCTTTATATAAAATCGTTTTGTGGCCTAATGACAATACGCTAATGGATATTTTGTTTCAAATAAATGCAGCAATTATTCCGATGAGGTTAAATATGATTGTATATAAAAGTGTCGGCAACCTCGAGGCAAACCCATTTCCAAATTATATATCTTTAGCTTTTGCATATATCTCCATAGTTTTATCTGCTCTCGCCGCCTTTCGGTATCGGTCACGTGCTTTGGCTAATGGGTTCGGCCACGGGTCTTTGTTTTGCGGCCTTACGTAAACAATTTTCAGCGTATTTTCAATTGGATTGCGAGGATATTTGGCTATATAGCAAGTCGTTCTTTATCATTGCCTTGGGCCTTGCAGACAGACAGACGACGCGGTTCTTTTTCTTTGGTTTCTGATAAGGTATTTAAACAATGTGCCCCGACTAGACATTCAATATGTGAATACAGAGAAAAAGAATTTTAAGCCTCTGAATCAGGCGATTAAATGGTACTTGCCAATTTCCAATACATTAACTTCAATAAGTAACAATTTTCAATAACGCGAAGAACCCATTTATTTTAACATAATCAATTTATACATTATTTATACATTTTGTGAATTGCGTTTTAACATGTAATTCACTTATAAAATACTTCTATAATTAACTGATTTCCAGTTGATATTTTTAGATGATTCTCAGCTTATCTGATTAAAAATACTATTTAAGTATATTTCAACTGATATTTTTCGTTATTTGATTATAAATCAATGCTACATTATTTTAACTCAGTAATAAAATTAAGTAGCTTGTTCAACTGGGCAATTTAAGTCACCATTACTCCTAATATTCTTAAATCAGTGAATAATAAATTTTTCATAACTTTTTACGGCCATGTTTCCGGCTAGATTGTGTGAGAGAGGAAAAATAAACTTCTTCAGGGGTCCAGTCATCATGGCAACAACTTGAATTATTGCGTTAGACCCATGTTGTTTGTACCAGCTTCAAAAATGTATTGTTTATGGTGCACATATTTCTCTATTGGTTTCTCGCGTTGTATAAGGTTCAAGTGTTAATTTGCCTCGTAAATGATTTAAAAGCGATTAAACGTGTGCCCGGTGAAAGATAGTGGTAGTATGTATAACGGAACGAAAACAAACAAAAGTTGCGATTGCGATTAGTCGTTCGAACTTAACCTAGAAGTAATCGAACACATAATCGAATGATTGGCATATCAGGCAGTCGCCATCTAACCCCAATAATACAGCTCCCCCGATGATGAAGATCGATTTTGTTTTCGCTATGCACCTTTCATTCTATTGTGCCGAGGATCAATTAAATTTTACGAGTGTTTTAAATTTTCCGGCAAGGGGTACTAAAACAAACTACTCGAGATTTCGGTGTCGAAGTCTGGAAGTTGGTCGTGTGACCAAGTGGGTCACAAATATCTTATCTATCTTGTTTCCATGGGATATATTTGCACGACCATGATTCAGGACAGTTTTAATCGACTGATTAGGAGATGATTAAAGATCTTGTTTTCGTGTTGGGCCCACCTGCTCGGGATCGTTCGAAGGTCGTGTGAACTTGGCCCTGACGTCACCGAACTTTTTATGATTTCAAATATTTAAACAAATCTTAACCGAAATATTTTGGAACTTGGGAATTTTCATGTTCTCTTTCCTGCACTAATTTTTATTTACAACCATCCCCAAGTGTCGTGGATTTAGTTTCTCTCTTCATATGTACATATACAAAAGACCAAATATAAAAGGCAAATTCCGTGCCAAACACTCAATTTGTTTTTCAAATGGCGCATTTCTGGTGGAGGTTTCGTTCTAGTGTTTTGTTTTTGTTGCAACAAACGTTGGGTGAGGATTGACTGGAGGTGACAACCACCATGGGTTGGCAGATAAATGTCCAGTATACGAAAATGGATCGTTAAAGGGGGGTTATATAAAAATGCGATATTTTTCAAATGAAATATGTACATTTGCATTACAAGATACATAGTTGCAAATTAAATCAAATAATAATAAAAACTTTTGCTATCAGTTTATTTTAGAAAGTGTCAAGTAATGTATAGATTTAAAATAATAATCGCATTTCTGAATATAAAAAGTTTTTTTTTCTTATATAAATATTTTTTAAAATATTTTAAATAATAAAATCAGATTGAAAAATGTAGATTTGTTTTTTAATATCCATTTGTCTGGTTTGTCGGGTATTACTTAGTTCAGGGATTTCATCCATCCCAACTTTTCAAACCACCCTCGAAAAATCGTGTCCCAACGCATTTGGCTTCAATGACCGAGCATTGGCACTCAATACGTGCTCACATCCTAACCATATCCCCCCATCTGTGTTCCGTGGATTTTTTTTCAGAGTCGGCGGCACCCAGATGATATAAGCACCTATAATGCTCATATCATTGTCTCCACTCTGAGTACGCATAATCATTGCATGGGACTTTTGCTGTCAATTTTCGAGATCTTCGCTTGGCCACACACAATTAGCATTTATAATTGCACATCGTCTCGACTCATTTACCAAGTCGCTTGGTTATCGCTCAAATGGAAATAAGCCAATTTTAGGACTATTACATAATTGCCATGATCTGATTTTGAGGCTTTTGGAAGTGCTTCACACTAGCGATGCGTCATACAAATGATAGTGGACTTTGCTCAGGACTGAATATCTGCTTTGGAACCATGTGATGCAATCAATAGTGATTAAATCTTATTGTTTGCCCAATGTATATTAATTGTGGAGTCGTTTAGATTGATCGTTAGCCAAATGGCCAACAAACAAATTCCATTGTTATAACCAAAAATTCTTGGTTTCTTTGGGCGCAGATAAAATGAAAGAAGCAACATAGGACACTTAATTGATGATCTCATAAAATTCTTTTTATGATGATAATAGTGATAATAGTGGGTATTATGTGCCAAGAAAATTCCAAATATCTATTCAGAATTATGTGATACATATATTAAATCAAGAAAAGTGTGTCAATTGATTCTTGAATATGCCAGCACATCCTATTTTCGCGTTCAATCTCTTTGTTTGGTGCCTCGGGCCAGATTGCAACAGCAACAAGAGGAACGAAACAGAACTAAAACAAAAATACAAATGTTGTATATAGGCATATAAGGAGTCAGAGCCAACTACAGAAACTGAGAAAAAACTCTGTTGAGACGCATTTTCGAGATCACGCGGCGGGTGCGTGACCGCCAGACAGATGCGATCTGAAAACCCACAGAAAACTCTTTGGCCATGAGATCGGGGGTCTCCTTTTTCTCCTCTCCATATGGGCATCTCTCTCTGGCTCATTTTAAATTAGGAAGCAGCTGTTTGCTGACTGACTTCATCAAAAAGAGTTTATAGCAGTCTGCGGGGTGCAGCCCAGATTCAGATACAGATACAAATAGAGGTTTGGATACACATTCAGATGCCATGGGCTCTGGAAATCAGGTAGAAGGTCATTTGTAGGGGTTTGTTTTCTGTTTTATATTTCGCAAATTATGAACTTAAAACCTTATTGATAGCAGAAATGTTTAGGCAGAAACAGTGATTAAGAGGACTTCTGTTTCGTTACCAGCTTAACAAAAGCATATGCTTGCTCTAATGATAGGAATTGGATCGCCCTTAAAACAGCTGTGTAACTAATTCTGTTTTTGCACTCAACCAACTGTTATTCAAAAACAGGTATGAGTTTTTCAACCCACATTTAGATTTCAACTTTAAATGCAATGGTCACATCTTTAAATAAAATTATATATTTTAAATGTGGTCAACAACACTCGCTTGTGAATAATTGATTTGCATCAAAGTCACGCAAACATTACAATTAATCCGATACGAGTTTTTTGTAGGGATACATTTATCTTTTCTTGTTATATATTTAAATCCCTGTGTTTAACATTAATTAAACGGTTTGTCAGTTGTAACTAATTACTACTTTTAATATTTTAGTAAGCACAAATTAAATAAAATATAACTTACAGAGATTTTAAGCTATTAAAAAAAACAGCAGTAACTCGCTCCTGTCCATTAGGTAATTTATATTTAATGAAATTGGCTTAAATGCGCCGCCCCACAAGTGAGCCATTAAAGGTAGCCCCATAAATCGGGGTGTGTGTAAACATGTGAAAATGCGGGTAGGACTAGAAAGCATATTGAATTTCGTCATATTTCATTGGAGTCTTATCGTTCATATGAAAACAAGTTTACCACGAGCGCCAGCCATATAACTATGAAATGCCATGGGGTTCGGAACTAACCTATCCTAAGTGCAAATGAGGGAAGTGAGGCAGGAGAACAGGAACAATGAATTGCAACTGGATGGAAAAAGGGTAGGAGGGTGGTGAAAGGTCACAGCCATTGGTCTCCTAATTGATTGGCATGTCGGATATCGGAATGTGTCGTCGAAGGGGTAAATCAATCTAGTATTTAATCGGGGGCGACTTACGTTGACCAAACTAACGCCAAAGCAAGCGACCCATCCCCATCCGCCATCGGGGGCCACTTTTCTGGGCTGTTTGGTTGCCATTTCTGCTGTCTTTGTTGTATGGTTCGGTTCTCCTCGCCTTTTTCTGCTCTTTCTTCTGCTGTGTGTTTTCCTGGATTTGCTTTGTTGTTTAGGTATCTATATATGAGGTGTAGTATATATAGATTTATGGATATTTTTTTACGTCGTGGTTTTTTTTTCGCTTTTCTTAATTTATGCCCGCTGTATCTGTGGTTTGTTTTTTGATGAAGTCTAATTATATTTTTTCATTTCCATGATTTTAGGCAACACACTTAAAAAAAAAAACAGAAAAGCAGACTGCTGCTGTTTATAAATATTTAAGGATTGAGTGGGTTTTTTGTTGTTTGATTTTTTCTTTATCAGTGTTTCTTATCACATTGGAATTTTAATTTAATTTGTTATTTTATCAAAATTTATTTAAATTGGTGGTTTGTGTTTTCTTTTGTTGCAAGGCACTTGGGATGTTTTTATTATTTTGTTGTTAATTATTTTCTTTTGGCCAGTTGGTAGTATTTGCTTTTGTTTTGGTCAGCTTGTTTTTTTTTTCATCCAGCTGTTTCACTGTTCTCCCTTGTGTTCAAGGGGGGTGCTGACTGTGGGTATGTGTGTGTTGGTGTTATTGTTGTTGGTAGTGTTTTGTTGTGGTTGTTGTTCTGATGTCTTGTCGGTGGGAGGCGGGGGCGGGGCCTTTGGGGCCTGCGTTGCGTCGCTCTCAGCGGACTCTTGCCGTTTGGTAGCGTGGTCGCCTCGCACAGCGCTATTTATTACAAAAAGAGGGGGCGGCAGGCGCTCAATGTCTCCGTCTTCGTTTCCGTCTCCTTCTCCCTTTCCCTGGCCCTGGTCGCTCTGTCTCGTCGCCTGTCCGTCTCGCTCGCTCTCGTCGTCGCGTCTCTTCCTCGGTTCGATGAGGTACGCGCGGCTGTTCAATCGATACTGACTGCCGTTGCTGTTTTCCGTTTGCCGTCCCGTCGCTGCTCTGGTGCGCTGGCCTGACTGCCGCCACCGCCGATGCCACCGCCGCTGCTTCGGTCGCCGCTACCGTCGTCGCACAGTGGAACGGAGCATGGAGTGACTAGTTAGCAGCGTTTGTGGGGCGGAACTGGAGGCAGATCTCTGTATTAGTTCTCAGTTTGACCTCGACGCGACACTTTCTTTTTAGTAAAACTAAAATTTTGCAAAAAATATCAAAATGCTTATGGTTATCATAATAATGAAAGAAGGGCTTAATTTACATATGTACATACTTCCTGTTCCTTTTCTTTCAATGCGCAAGTATAGCTAGTACATTCGATTATTGATAATCGCGTACGTTATTTTACAATTACAACGCAACAGTTTAGAATCGAAAAAAATAATATTAAAACTTAAATTATCAAATTAATGTCGAATCTAAAAACTAGAGCAAGGCTGAAAAAAGCAGATCAATGTTGACTTTAATGACGGCTGTTCGTCCCACTGTACTGTTCCATCCGGAGAGAGTCGCTCCGCCGTCCATCTGAGAGAGCCTGGCCATGTTAGGTGTCCATGTGTGTGGGGCTGTGTTTCAAGATCGCGTTCTAATGTCGATCGAGAGAGCAAGTGAGAGAGGTAGAGAGAGATCTTGCTTACTTACTTTGCTTGCCAAAATCACCAAGCAACAACAGCAACAATGTGCCTTGCTTCTTTGTTTACATTCGTTCTTTGTCTGAAGTTGTGGCGCATTTGTTGCATTTGGAGAGTTTGCTGCCTCCACTCCTCTCCTTTTTCTCTACTTTCCTCTTTCCTTCTTCACTCCTCGTTGCTTGGCCTTTTGACTCGGCTGCAGTTGCGCAAATGGCCTCTCACGTTCTCTGGCTCTCTCTTCTCTGCGCCGTCGTGCAAGTGTATGTGCTTACAGTCATACCTCTTTATGAAAAACCATGCACAACATTCGATTTTAGGCTAATCCATACCAATATATTATGACTATCTCTTATGTATTTACATTACAATAAAAAACCTAATTAAACCTGTTTAATATGCAATAAATGTATTCGAAAACTAAACAATTATTTATTTTAAGATGTTGGCGTTCTAAAATAGTCTCGAAGTTTCCGTAGAAATAACTCATACGTCACGTTGTGTTAGTTAGAATAAAGTCTTCAATCAAAGGCAACCGTGCGTATAAGTGATATACTTCAAGCAGGCCCTAAAACGAATTTTTTTTAAGCAATTTTTTTTCGGAATGCCTCAAAAGCACAAAGGCGCTAGTACTACATTACACCTTAAAATGTTTATACAAGCACTGTTACAAAATAAAAATTAAGAATGCTGAAGTCAATTAATACGACCATACAATACATGATTCGAAGTTAATAAAAAAAAAAGTAGGGGACGGTTTAAAAATACAAATACAATACTTGGCTTTCAAAGCAGATTAACCTTTCAATGTAACCAAATTTTTTGGTAACATTTTTATTATTGTTTTTCATAAATAGGATAAATCAAAATGGGCAGGCAAGGCCAAAACACCAATCCATCCATCAAGGCAATCTTTTGGTTCTTTTCTTGCAACTAATTGGTCATGCACAGCTCTTCTCATTGTTTATGAATTCAATGGAGTGATGATGACAGCAATAACTTGCAATTGAGCAACTGGGAATAACTCTGGAAACGAAAATGTCCCCACAGCTCGGATGCCCCCTTTTGCCCTCAACCATAGTTCACTCGTTATAAAATCAGAGTGGAAATTTCTCAAGTGCCAATAGCCAATATTACTATAAACAAGAAAGGAAAGCTAACTTCGGGCGGAGCCGAAGTTGATATACCCTTGCAGAATACTCTATAAATTATATTCTCCAAAATTATTCATATGATGCATTCTTAATACTCATAAAAAATCCGAACTTTCTAACTTTACAAACACCAAAGTTATGGCATTTCCGATCAATCAGTTATATGGCAGCTATAGGATATAGTCGGCCGATCCTTATGAAATTTGGTAGGTCGGATTGATTGGCCATATATAAAACCCATAGAAAATCCCAACTTTCTAACTTTACAAACACCAAAGTTATGGCATTTCCGATCAATCAGTTATATGGCAGCTATAGGATATAGTCGGCCGATCCTTATGAAATTTGGTAGGTCGGATTGATTGGCCATATATAAAACCCATAGAAAATCCCAACTTTCTAACTTTACAAACACCAAAGTTATGGCATTTCCGATCAATCAGTTATATGGCAGCTATAGGATATAGTCGGCCGATCCTTATGAAATTTGGTAGGTCGGATTGATTGGCTAAATATAAAACCCATAGAAAATCCCAACTTCCTAACCTTACAAACACGAAAGTTATGGCATTTCCGATCAATCAGTTATATGGCAGCTATAGGATATAGTCGGCCGATCCCGGCCGTTCCGACTTATATACTGCGTGCAAAGGAAAGAAGGGTGTGTGCAAAGTTTCAATCCGATAGCTTTAAAACTGAGAGACTAGTTTGCGTAGAAACAGACAGACGGACAGACGGACAGACGGACAGACAGACGGACAGACGGACAGACGGACAGACGGACATGGCTATATCAACTCAGGAGGTGATCCTGATCAAGAATATATATACTTTATAGGGTCGGAGATGTCTCCTTCACTGCGTTGCACACTTTTGACCAAAATTATAATACCCTCTGCAAGGGTATAAAAATGTATATACATAATTAGGTTTAAAAATGTATGTTCAAATCGAAAAAAACACTGGATTGTAAGGTAGGTAGATACTGTTTGATATAATTTTCCAGATAATTAAGTTATTAAAAAAAAACAAAGCAATTTGTGAACTTGGTTAGTAATAGTATATACATAGTAGTGGTGATATCATGAATGAAATAATTTAGGTTTTAATTGGGTGAAAATACCATGGGAAAACTTTTTTTTTCATATCGAGATTTCATAGAGAAAAAAATACAAACCAAATAGCTAAATCCACAACACTGTCCGGCAAGTTTGACAAAGAATCGATAATTGTTCGAGTCTCTGAAAAAATAGGGGAAGTGGGGCTGACAATGACAGCACACACACCCACGTGGGATTTGCATGCGAGTACTTAAAGCTGATTCTGCCGGCAACAGATTGTTGATTTACTAGCTCTGCTGTTATGGGATGTTGTTACAATTTGTCACAAATATGCTAAAACACCAGCCGTATCTTTGGGGCACCTAACAACAGCACCTCATTTTATTAAATTATAATATATCAACCTGTCGCTACTCATCTAGGCGGTGGTAATTTTATAAAAAAAAAGTTTAGCATATGTTTTTTTTTTTTGAACGTCTTTGGAAAGGGTAAAGCTCAAATGTTAGTGGTCTGTATTGTCTCTAAGGTATTTGTACGTTTTATGAACAAAGTAAAGCTTTAAGATGTATTGAGTGTTTCAGATAATGGCTAATTTGGATTTCTCTTACCCTAATTGACAGAGCTATAAATCGGCTAAAGAGGCATCACTGCTGCTGTGGGTTCTGTTTTTATTTCCTTCCTGTTCCAACTTGTTGCTCAGTTGGTTACGCCACCCACTCCCTGTGTGTGGATGTAAGTGGGTGATTTTGTTTACGTGTCTCCTTGTATCTGTCCTGAAAGAGGATGTGCTATGTTGGCCGTTCAGCTATGCGAGAAAAAGGAGAGGGTGCGTTGCGAGGTAGGGGATTGCTGGTCATTATCCCCTGTGCAATATGAACTTCCTAGTTCAAACATGTTTGAACTCTGAGCCCAGCCTAATAACCTATACAAAATGATATTAAATACAATGTATTTTTAGAGGCACTATAAGCCGCTTTAAACGTTTTCACATTATTCATCGTTATTCTTATTTGGTTGCCTATTCTTGAACATATTTCAGTGACTTGTATAATTGGTATCGTAGGCTTTTTCGTAAACTCGCCTTGAAGGGAATCAACACTTGGCTAAAGCAAACACAAACAATTTTCAAATAAACTGAGGGAAAGTGAGATGGAGATTATGTGACGTTAAATGTTTGGCTGATGACGTAGTTTTTGAGCTGTTTAAATATCCTGGAAGCAAGGGTATGTTGTATTGACCCAATTAAATTTCTTTCTTCGAATCTTGTAAACATGATTTTGATAAGAATTGAAAATCAACACAAAGAACAATAGAAAACAAATAAATTAATAAATAATACTTAAATGTATTAGATTAACATAATTTAAAAGTAAAGCGTTTAAATATGTTTCAAAATTAATAGGGGCATTCAAAAACATTTTTGACAATTGGTAGCACTAGGAAGGAAGAAATAAATAATAATATTGAAATGAATGTGAAACAAATTTTAAAATGGTTTGGATTGAACTATTATTTGTAAGATAAACATTTTGTCATGTTCTTAAGGAGGTTTAGGAATCAAGAATCCGTTCGCTGTATATTAAGGTTAAAAACTGGTTATAAATGTTTGGTTTTATCAATGCAAAAATTCGGGTAAAATGTTGATTTTTACAGAACCTTCTTTTTTATGACACTCAGTTTAATTCAAAAATATTTGGTAAAAAAAAAAGCATCATCATATAAAATAATAAAAATATGAAAAATGGCGTGTTTAATATTCTAACAGCCGGAGTTGACAGATTTGGTTTGTTTTCATTTTACAATTTAGTTCCGCTGATGTTGACAGTGGCAAAGAAAACGAACAGCAATAAATTTATTTAGCATTGAGTGGAGAGACAGGGAGAACTCGGCGAAAGCTTCCTGTTTGTTGGGTGTCTGGTTTGGCAATATTTTCATGCGTTCGATATTGCATATTCATTCCTCTCGCTGTCTATTTGATAAGCACCCAAGGGGCATTGAACCCCCCGATCATCTGCTCGTAACATTTTTAAAAACACTCTTTCCAGCTTGTAACTTTCCGCTCGGCGAATTACACTTTATTTTGATTTTCAGTTCATAACCCATTTACTGCTTTATCGCTGCTGTTTTGTCGTCACCCAGCAAACTGGTTTTATCATTAGCTCGCCTAATTTGCACTTTTATTTTATTTTTTCTGAGGGAATAAATGATTAATCATTACTGCAAGCGTTTTCCATTGATACCAATTTCAATGATGTTTCTACGTCAAGAAATAAAAATCACAGCCAAGCGCTTATCAAAAGCCAAGTCAGACAAATAAAAAAACTAGAACTTGCAGATGACGGAATTTTGCAGTAACACCCATTACGCCTACGCAGATAGTAATTATTTTTCCGGGAAACTCTTACTTGGACTTGTGGTGGTTTTCAATAATGCGGGCATTATAATTAAACTTACCATAGTCAACAAAATTATTATTATTTTATTATTATTAATTTGAAAATAAAAATAAATACAGTTTTGATATATGTTACTCAGTTCTATGGGATCTTAACGTTGCATAAAACAAAAACGAGTCCAGAAATAATTTCCTGAATTGAACTGGCCGCAAATGTTTGTTCAACTTTTTTCCGCTTTCAGTCCAAGTGTCATTGATCGTTCATATTGATGTTATGATGATTTGGCTCGTGATATTCACGTGCTCCATTCCGTTCATCCCGCCTCACCCTCTTTTTCTCTGGATATTTCTTCCGTAGTGTCACAAGATTCTTGTTAGATTTTGAACTTTGGACGCCGCCGGATGAATGGGCGAACCAATTTTGATTAGACTTTATTGCTGCATCACGGCTGGAGATGAGATCATATAATGATGAAACTGACCGTCTTGTGATGAAGTTGTAGCTTTTTAATCAGAAATTTGCAATGCAATGTATCTCCAAATTGTCTTTTTGCGTGGTACTCTCGTAATTGTCATTTTTGTAATATTTGGGACACCTTTTGTTTTTGGTCTATATGATATATACGCGCAGTTCACGTTTGACTGTAAGGGTATTAAAACGTCGGCTTGCCGAAGTCAGCTTCATCATAATAATATTATAATCTCGGGTTAAATGGGAAAGTATAAAAAACAACGAAGATATGTCGAATTTCAAATTATTGGATTTTTCCTTTGGAAGCTTTATGATATATTTTTTATAAATTTTAAGCAGTGTTTCTAAAATTGTCATTTATTCAATTTTGTCCCATGTCAGCTAAATATACCCGTCAGATCCGCTCAGTTCCGACTTAAAAATTAAAATTGAAAAACTGAAACACCCAAAGCTTATAAATGATAAATCCTTTTTCTGACCTGACATGCAAGGTGCTAAATAGTAATTAATTTTTTTATTTAAAGTTAAATCATCTAAAACTCCTCAATTCAAAACAAATGTGAAGAAATTGGTATAAAACAATCGGACAATTTATTGTACAATCTGACCAAACAATCAACTCAGGTTATTTTTTGCACATTATTTAATACTTAACTTAATATTTTATACATTTTTGCATTAAAGAAAAATTAAATAGCTGAAGTACTTCCGTAAGGTTAGTTCCTCTTTTGTTAAGTAATTTTGTTACCTTTACGATGCACTCTCGAACCGAATCAATGAATCACTTATTTTAAATTGTTAAGTTTTTGGCATCTTAATTAACAATTATCGATATTAAATAAAATTAATTTGCTACACTCGAATCGTATATACACAATGAACACGCAGAACATAGTTTACATAAAGATAGCGATTAAATTTTGGCTAACGTTAGGATGGATGGGGGAACGGAGTTGGTCCTGGAATTGCTGGCACTGAGTACGACTAGACAGGGCTCGAAGTTAGATCACTCAATGGACTTCACGGGTGTCGAATTTCGTTTACGGGCGCGGGCTCGAATAAAGTCCTCCAGGTACCAGCCCGCAAAGGCCAACAAACAAAGGGCATTCAACACGTTGAGGGTAAACGCATAACTGGTGTGATCCTTGCAAAGTCCTGGTTATGGGGAAGAAAATATAGGGATTAAATCAAACAGTGTATTTTTTAAAACAGGTGTGGAAAACTTAAAGCTGACTGTTGAAGATGCAGTTTTGTTGTCTTTCATGTTAAAAATAGCTTTGACATGCTATCTGCTGATGATGCATCGTCTACAACCAGCTTTATACAAGAACCTTCCCCTAGATTCCACAAAAATAGTGCTAGTCCAGTGCTACTCACCAATAAGGGGTCCGAACATCATCGAAAAGGTTCCGGACATGAGCAGTTGTAGGCCAGCGGCCGCTGGCAATCTCTTCAGCGGCACATAGCCGGGAATGATAAGCGACCAGAAGACCGTGCGGAAGGCCTTGTTCAAGCCCAGAAACAGGAATATGCCCATCATCACGTAGAAGTTGGTTGTGAACGAGAGGAGCATGCGGCCAATGCACATGCCCAAAATTCCCACAACAAAGAAGGTTCGGTTGCTTAGATTTATCTTGGCCGTTATCACTGGTATGAGGAATCGCACCACCAAATCAAAGAATCCCAGTGTGGACATGGCCAAAGCAATCTGATCATCTTTGAAGCCCAGATCGGAAAGGATAAAGGGTGTCAGAATGGCAAAGTTAATTTCCACAAAGTTGATCAGCGTGATGCCCATGGCCAGGTTAACATAGGTGATATCCCTCAGTAGATCCATATCGAAGAAGATCACTACTTTCATATAGAATGGCAGCTTCTTACGGCGCTGGCGCTCCGCCTCGTCCTCTAGCTCTTGTTTCTCCTTTTCGGTTAGCGCGGTGGAGTGGTCGTGGTCCTCATGATCGGAGTTGTAGCCCAAGGCCTCCTCCTCCTTAATGCTGTGACTCACGGAAATGCTGCGTATCTGTCGCCCAGGATTCGAATCCCTGCTGCTCAGTCTCTTGAGCTCCACGTGACCATTTCCATCGGACTTTTCCCAGGTGTTCACCCGATTGCGAGTGCCGCTGCTATTCAGTGAGGCCCTCGAGCCGAACCAACCGTCGTTGGCACGGGGCAGCACCGGAGTATCTGGCTCCACAACATTCTTGATAATATCCTCATCCTGATCCTCGCGCTCTGCCAAAGGTTTGTCCAGCTGCAGTGCCTCCGCATCGTGATCCCGCTTCACCACATGCCACTTTACCGGCTGGTAAATCAGCGAACAGGCTATCGTGTGCAGTGAGACGCCGGCGAAGAGGAGTGTTGTACTAGAAACTCCATAGAGGGCCACCATGTAGGTGGCGAAGTAGGGACACACAATCGGTCCCAGGCCAGCCACTCCGAATTGGAAGGCCGTCGCCGTGCGTCGGTTCACCTTGAAGTATGTGTTAACCGCCAGCGAGGAGGCCGATACCGTCAATCCTCGGCCGAATCCGTATATGATCGAGAAGCTCAGTATGTAGATGGGGAAGGTGTGGGCGAAAACCATCCAGAAGAGGCCCAAGAAGGTCAGAACGGAACCGAACAAGGCCACCGCTCGATATGTGTAACGTCGGAAAAGCGGGCCGTTCAGCAGACCTTTTGATAAAGAACATTTTATTAGTTTTTATTCCTTAGTCAAAATAGTATTTAAAATGTTAAATGTTAAAAAAAAGTAGTTTTGAGTAAATAATTTAAATCATTGTTTTTGCCCTCAATTTTTTTTTAGCTTAAAGAATATTTTACAAATCGGAAATTTACAAATAGGACAGGATATGAATATTTTTTTTGTATATAAGATATTAATTTTTTAATTTAAAAAAAAATATCAATAATCATTACTTGCATTTCTTCAAATGCATTGTGGGCCAGAAATTTTAAATGTTAAGACACATTTTTAGATGGCGACGTGGAGGTATGCAATAAGTATTTTTTGTTTGCATTTAGTTCTTGTACGAGAAAATATAAGGAATACAGCATACCCTTGGGCTGCATTAGACCATGAAACTTCCTCAACTTCATGTTAAGTCAATACTTAAAACAGTGGCTATCGATATTTCAATAATTTTACAGCCTTAAAAATATACCGAAAAAAACATCCAACAAAACTATATGAAATGTTCACAAATTAAAGTTATTATTTAGTATCTCAAAAAATGGGCTTTTATCCAATGTTCGTGTTTGGTTGGCCTAGTGTTTACTGAATTTCTCATGAAAGCTCGCTTAGCTATATAGAAATGGAGCTTTGCAAAATATTTAAATCAAATAAAAAAACAATCGAGTGATTCAGCTGAGGGGCTGGTCATGAATTATAAAATCATGTCCAATGTTCCTATACTAGATTCAGGCAATAAATGTTGCGAATGCGCTTGTGGATTGCCAGCAGTATATCGAATCGCGTACTAATAACCATTTCTTATTCTCACCCGTAAATGCAGACACAGCGATCTGTGTGTTGATGATGGTGGTCAGTTCGGAATTGGAGATCCCCAGGTCCTCCATGCGCTTGCGGAAAATGATGCCGAACTGCTGGGCCAATGCGAACGTCACCAGCTGGAGGATGAGGATGGGGGAAAAGCAAAGAGTTATACTCGTATCTACGTGGATAGGTTGGCTAGGGGAGAGATAAATGAGATGGTTTACTCACAATGTTGAGGCCACTGGCGACGGACACCAGCCAGCCCCATCCTCCGTCGGGCGCCACAAAATCATCACCCAGATCGCTCTTGTCCCGCCTCTTTTTCGCCGGATGCGATCCTTTCGCTGGGCTCTGTGGCTGGGATTGGGCTTTGGAATAGGAATGGGGCGGAGGCACTATCTTGGTCTGTTGTTCCCCCGATCCATTCTTGGGGAGCAGCTGCTCCTCGGTTGGTCTCAGTCTGGATAACTCATTGTTGTTATTATTGTTCTGATGGTTCCCATTATCGGTCATCTTGGAATTGTGCGCTGGGCGTCTTGGGTTAGGATTTGGGGATAGGGGATTGGGTTAGTTTAGCGCTGCGGGCTTTTGGCCGGTTGTTGCATTACTGAACGGATAATGGGTGGGTGGAACCAGTGAACTGCAACGCTGTAAATTGTATGAGCGTATGATTAAAAAGTATTAATATAATAGTTTCAGCTGTTGCTACACTTCGGATTATATGGGAAGTCATATTTATAACATTTAATTCCAACCGATATTTTAAGTAAACATAATTTATTTTCATAAAACCATAATTAATTAGTAGGATTTTAATAAATTACCATATTAAAGCCAAATCTTAATTCTGTGTTTTTATACCCTTGCAGAGGGTATTATAATTTTGGTCAAAAGTGTGCAACGCAGTGAAGGAGACATCTCCGACCCTATTAAGTATATATATTCTTGATCAGGATCACCTCCTGAGTTGATATAGCCATGTCCGTCTGTCTGTTTTTACGCAAACTAGTATATATGTCGGAACGGCCGGGATCGGCCGACTATATCCTATAGCTGCCATATAACTGATTGATCGGAAATGCCATAACTTTGGTGTTTGTAAAGTTAGGGATTTTTTATGAGTATTAAGAATGCATCATATGAATAATTTTGGAGAATATAAATTACAGAGTATTCTGCAAGGGTATATCAACTTCGGCTCCGCCCGAAGTTAGCTTTCCTTTCTTGTTGGTTTACAAGTAGCTAACACAAATCGAATTATTTTGCTATTAACTTGTATAACTGTATTGGCGTTGACTTTTATGAGCAATTTAAATTTAAAAAAAAATTTGTAGTGCCAAAAAAAAAAAAATTATTGACTCATTTATTTTTATAAAGAACTCATTTAAAATGTATATATGTTGATTTCTCAACCATAACAAAAAGAGTATTATGATAACAATAATAACGGTATCACTAGTTCCACATGGGGAATTTTTGTAAATATTTTATTATGTTTTTAAATGAAATTCCCTTTAATTTATTTTTAGGCACATGCTTTAAATTAAATTGTAACGTTTCGAGCCGGTTTAATGTTTTTCCAACTTCTCAATGCTTATTATACTTTCTAATGAACTGATGGAATCCCATAGTCAGTATAAAATTATCAATGAATTGCACACATACCGTATTTGAGACAGCCAGAATTAATAATAATAAAGATCGGAAACGAACCAATATTTGAACTTCGGCAGAATTGATTTGCACACAGGCCAGACAGCCGTTTACTGCTAAATTTGTTTTTATTTTATTTTTTTTATGAGAGCTTCGCGAGACGGCGGGACAAAAGCCTCAGCCTCAACTGACCGATCGTACCAGTGACATTTTGGGCAACTTTTTTATTTCTTCTTTTTCCTTGAGGGCGGTGGTAGGGAGATATTTTTGAGACAGAAAACGTGACTGCCAAATAGCAACAATAACTATCTAAATAATACCGACTTAACACCCATTATATAAAAACAGTAACAACAGGGCATTATACGTCAATGGATTCGATTGTTAGAGATCGGCCGAAAGAGCGCCGTCTTATCTTGCCCGCAATTTTATTTCATTTCAGAGAGCAGCAAGTTACGAGTTTTATTTTCTTTTTCATTTTCGGAATCGGAATCGGAATTCGTATTCGAGAGTTTGCTGACCAGAAATGAGTGTGTTCATCGTAAATACCTGCGCCGACGTGACAAATACACAGAAATATCGAGATATATGTCGGGCTGGCGGCATGTGTTTTATATGAGATCATTTGGTGGGGCGGCGGAAAAGGGTCCGGGGGACATGTGATAAGGCACACTCCTTCGCCTACCGATATCGTCTAATTATATTGTTGCTCAATGGTTATATCCGCATCACAAGGTTATGGTTACTAAAGCATTTTCAAACCAATCAATCGGCGAATTCACTGCACACAAAAAAATTTTAGCTTTCCCTCTTTACATTTACAAATAAAAATTGTTGAACCATTTTTTTTCCTATGATTTTTTCATATTCAAGGATTTATTTATAATACATTTTTAATTAAACTATATATTCAGCTATTCTACTTGATTTGAATATATTACACTTACGGCTAAATGTTCATGTATGGTATTTCAAAAAAAATACTTATTGAAAGATAAATAATAATATGTTCAAAACAAGTTATAAAAAAAACAATAATTAATTTCGTTCTGCCTGAATGATTTTAAAAGGTACACAGTTGTTCTTAGGTTATAAGTTCTTTAAACTTTCGATCCCTAATCGACTTATAATACTAAAAAAATTGTATGTAGTTAAGTAATTAAAAGGCAGTAAAAATAGTTGAATACTTTAAGCCTAACTAAGACCAAGTTTTTAATTGATGTTAAACAAACCAAATTAAGTGTATTGTTCATAGAATTTTTTGAAGTTTTTATTTGGACCGTTTACTATTCTGCTTACTTACTTTATCGGACTCCAACTGGCGTCTAAGTAACTTGGGCTAAAAATTATTGCTGTTTTGCGACTGCTCCAGCCGCTGAACCGAACCAAACCGAACCTATCCGCGAATGACCACTGCAAAAAAAAAATTATGGGTATGCCAGGGTATGGACAGTGGGCAGAAGATAAGATTCGCTAGATTAGTTCGCTTTTTATGCGATATATAATAGGCAAAACGGAAAACGTTTTGATGTACTAAAGGTCGCGCTACACAGAACGGGTTGATCATTAAAACGCTGCTCAAATATCAATTTTACAGTGTTTTAATTGCCAGGCAATCGTCAACATGTACATACATCTATGTATATGTTAAACACAGTGGGTAAGAGTAGACTTTTGACTCGCTTATCACAGTTTTGTTCAGTTCGATATAACCGCATATACACATATAATGGGCCTAATTGACCTCAAGCCACTGCCACTCGAAGTGAATCAGCTATTTTCTTATCGAACTCGTCGAACTTATCGGACATGGATACGCTTATGGCCACAACTGGAGAATTTTTCAATGCCATCCAATGATCGAACCACAACCTATCGATCAGGAAGCACATGGCGGCAATTGGCAAAAAGAACCAGACGAAAAACACGTGATTATTGGATTATTAGTTATATATAATAGTCATTAACGATCATGGGAATAAACATTTTACACATAGCTAAATTCGATGATCTAATTATTATAATTAAAAACTGTGTCTTATCGAAGCTTTAGTTTTATTTATAATAGATGATAATTATATAATAGCTCGAAACTTAAAAACTGCTTTTTACACTCGATAAACAGCGGTAATCAAAATTACCTAAAAAGTGTCAAAATAGTCTACATTTTTTGTACAAAATACGTAAAATATCTGGGCTGTGCAAGATATGCAGTTTATTTTGTTTTCCAGTGTAGTAAACAAAATTATCGAAGCAGCACTTGTAGACATAACAAGTCGAATCAGTTGATACTACATTTTATGTAATAAAATAAATATTATTTATTATTATACTTCAGATAGTGAATTAATTTTAAAAAATACTTTGACCGCTGATCAATTGCAGTTTCCTGATGTTTCCATCCGTTTGATTAGCTCGCAAGGAAGTTTGATAATGACTGGTGTGTTTTGATTGTCGGATCTTTTTAATATATAAGTACTTTGCGCACTTATAAATTCCAAGATTAGAGTTTCGGGGGAAAGGCCATTAATGAGCTTAAAAAAAACTGGGTGTACGTATATTAATGGCCTCAAGTGCTTGATTAACACGCGACGTCGCTGTCGTTATTAGTCGTTTAAGACGATCCAAGCCAAAAACAAACATTTGTATAATTAGAGCTTTCTGCTTTATACGACTACATCTCCCTCCGGTCTCCCCAAACATGTTCACACTCCATAAAAGAGTATTTGCATTGGCCCAACAAAGATGATGATCCCGCGGCTGCCATAAAAATATTTACAGCACTGTAAACAGAATTTGGTAGCCACTGTGCACTGGCTGAAACGGTGTTTTGTGGTGCTCTATAAACCGTAATCGTTTGAGAAAAAATAAGGCGACTTTGATCGATTTTTGATTGATTGGCAACAGAACGTCACGTATGCACCGATATCGACGTAACATTCAAAATATACTTTTGAATTCGAGACAAAAACAAAGTATTTAAACTTAATTTCACAATAACCGGACTATTTATAGAATACAAAACAAATTAAATGGTTGAAATATATACATTTTCTTGTTCCAAACTGGTGAAATGTTTTTCTATTTCTGTAATATCAAAGTGAATTCTAAATTTCTTTTCTTTTAAGCATGGCACGAAAAAGTTTTGTGTTTGTCAACATAAATGTGACTTTGATTAGGAATTGTAGAACATTCGAAGTTTCCCTACTCGCTGATATTTATCTAGTTTCGCAATTATTATTTTTTCCGGTCAGCTTTTGCTAGATTAAAATAAATCATTGATATATGATATGAATGGAGATAACTTCATACTTATAGAATATACAAATTTCACAACTATTATTTAACCCGGTGTAGTTTGATTTTAAAAACTAGTTTTGATATAGAAGTTGAAACTAATTTGTTTTTAACTATTTCTGATGTTTGAGTACCCAAAATTCTGTGTTTTTCGAAAGATGCACGTGCTTAGCGAAAAGCGCGCGCTTCGAGAAAAAAAATATAATTTGGTTTGACCTAGTGCTAATTGCTACTAAACTTAAATACAAATGTTAGCGCACACACACACACATCCAAATGATATATTTATGTATTAGGGCCGTACGTTTTATTTTTGTAAATGATTTTCCTTTCTCTTTGTTGGTTGTTGCTTGTTTGTTGCGTTTGTTGTTGCAGGCTATGCTGCTTCACATCACTTGTAAAGTTAAAATACAAAACAAAAAGAAAAAAAAATAAATAAAAACGAGACGGCACAGTACAGTCAAGGTCAAGTAAATAGAATATATATATTCAACAGGCGACGACTTTTCCGTTACGTTCAGCAGCGCGAACTGAACTGAACAACTTTGGCAATTATAGTATTAAACACCCAAACAGTGCACACACACGCTCACAGGCAATACTTGCTCACTTTGTGCACACTTTTTGTCGCAGTATGTGTGATATTTTTTGGTCTTTAGATTTAACTTTATCGTTCCTTTCGCTCCTTTTGCTTCTTTTCGGCTTTATTTGCGTTTGTTGTCGTTGTTGCTCTATTGCTTTTTTGATAACGGAATTATTTTTTGTTACCACTGTATTTGCCTTACTGTTGTTGTAATTAGTTTTGTCGTCGCAGGCGCGATTATCAGACGTATGTTTGTAAGTGGATGCGTACATACGAACATCAGTATACATATAAACATACTGAGCGCATTACCTACATATAAGTACGGCTCGCTCTAAAAACAAAATAACACAACTCATAAATACATTATGATAGCGATGGCGATTAGAATGTGAATTTACCCACCGACCGCCACCGTGGAACCAAATATCTCTTACGTTAATTAATTGGGAAAAACAATTTGCATAAGTAAGGCCCCAATGATATTTTATTTATTGGTTTATCGTTAACAAATAACTGTTAACATAAAGATATAAAAAAACAAATCGAACTAAGTGTTATGCTAACTTATTAATTTGGGATTAAAAAAAAATCTTTTAAAAATTGCCTTCGATGCTCAATGACAAAATGCCTTTTTATAATAACCATTAAATCCGCATTTTTACAATAGCTCTGACCTTTTTTTTTAACATTTCATAGAGCCAGATGCAAATGTTATTAAATTAAATGTTGATATTAAATACCAAATTGTTCCTTTGTAATAAAACAAATCGAATAAAGTTTAGTTATTATCCTAAGACTTTTTTATGCTTTGTTGTTTATCAACATTTAATTGCCTTATTAATAGTGGGAGATTAAACTGTCTAGTAAATTCAAATGGTTAATATTAAGCATGGCCTGTTTAAATTTAAAATATTTTCATATAAATTAAAACAACGACAGTTATTTGAAATAGGTTTAGAGGTTCAAATCCCAGAGTGCGTATTTTTTCCACAGTAGACGCTACCTACAGGAAATGCGCATAGTTGACCGACAAGCGACAAGTAAATTAAGCCCTTGGTTTGGGCCCAATGTTGACAGCTTGTCACTGGGACTGGGACGGGAAACCCACTCTGGACAAGACAAGTCCTATCTATCACGAGTTCGCATTGCACTCCAAGGGCGTCGGGACCCGTGACGCATGATGAGCAGATCGAGGATTATGCGAAAAGTGAAGGGGCTCGACACTGGGCCGGGTGCGGGTAATTTTGATTTTGAAACTGAGATCTTCTGTTTCGCCATTTTTTGCCTCTGACAGATTATCAGCTTCAAATGCTAAAAATAAAATTTATAATATACATATATATATTTATGTATATATGTTTTTTTTTGATGATTGTGTGAGTAACACTATCTCTAGAATTTTAGATTTCATCCAAGAAAAACAAATTTTAAATATTTAATTGCCCAACAATAAAAATGTTCTGAAAAATGTTGGCTTTACTATTTTTGTAGTATGTATTCTTGTAGAGCTATGATACTAATAAAGATAGGAAGAAGGAAAATACCTGGTATCGAAACCTTTACTCCCTATCATCTAGACTGGTCAGAATTTGAATTCGGGTTCAGCATTTCCTTTGCGCCATTTGCAATTGGCTGATAACAGCAGCAGTACACATTTCATTTGGAATTTGGCTTTTAAATTCGATTTTTACCACTCGGGTGCAAAGACCAAGGTGGGTGTGTCGACCCATAAATAAAACAACAGCCATTTCTTATTCGTCCAAGTGACGACGATCATGACATGGCCATATAATCGGGAATATGTATGATTATTTGAGACCTAAGGCGCAAAGAGGCCTGCCTCCACCGCTAAAGATAAGCTCCCTGGAATTAGACTATATGAATCGGCTGGGTTGGCGGATGTCAAAGATTCCATAAACCAATGTACAGTAAAAAACAAAAATAGATAATATAAAATATTTAAACAATAGGATGCTATTTTAGTTTTTATCTTTTCAAATTTTAAGCTCTTTGATCTGGTTTTGGAAAACCTCCAATCTTTTTGCATTACCTAAGAAAAGTTAATCTAGGATTTTTGCAAATATTAATATTTTTAGATACAAACATTTTAATTGACATTCGGGTAAAACTTCAACAGATCTTGTTTTTAAATAAGTTAGATTAAGGTATTGTTGCCGTTTCGAAGCCGTCTTTTCATTTACTTAATCAATTGAGCGATTTAAAATGGCACCCTAAAAGATTTCCCATTTTTTATTTTCTTTGTAATCCTAAAAGATACAACAATTTTAGTATCGAATACTTAAGGGAAAAATGCCAAGGTGCTTAAATCCTTGCATGTTTATATAAAAAAAAATACATCCCTGAAAATATGCATATCATACATACACATACCTTATTGAAAATATAGAAGACGGCCATTGATATATATTATATTTTAATTTAAATACCCTCACAAATAACGAAAGATTCAGAATCAAAAAATATTTCCAAAGATTTATTGAATTTGAGTTTGTAAAAAAAATATATAAAATTGCCAACAATTAAATATTACCACCCCTCAATCCGCATCCCAAAAGGCGGATATATTTATATAATGACTGCAATTTCGAAGTCTTACGTTCATTTCCAACGCATAGAATATAATTAAAACATGTGTTTCAACCAAGATGAACTTTAAATTAATCTATTTTACAAAAAGTTGACACCACATCCGCATTTTCTAACTAATATACATTTATTTATCAACTGCGGAACATTTATACACTTATAACATATCACTAAGTACATTTATTAAGTCTAGAAAGAGTATCAAAAGCTACAAAAAAAATTTACCGTAAGTTAAGGTAGCGATGGGTGATTATGAGCTAGTTAAGAGTTATGTTTCTTAGGTATCTTTAAGTAAGGGCAACACCGGCGCCGCAAACTCAAGTAATACTATGCACACAAATTGATTGGGAAGAATGGACTAGGCTATGTCTGCAGCTCCAATCAGGCCATGATCTCGCACACTGGGATGGCAAGTAGTTCAGTTCCGCCAAAGGTTTTGCCACACTTCCAATTCGGATTAGTATAAATGCTGCTTCTATTGACCCAGTCCTTTGGACTGTTTTCCCAAAATGCGACGCACCGCGGACTCTGTTAGCCATAAAATCAGGGCCAAAGCGGTTAGCGAGTTGATGGCGTGGATGGTGGCCGCATAGCCAAAAGCCTTCGTCAGGCTACCTGTAAAGAACAAATAAATAATCAAAGGTTATTATTTACATAAAGCACATTAAAAAAAACCCAACATTTATTTGTGCTATAAATTAGTCTGGAAATTTAGCAAGTAAGTCTTTTAAGATAGTATATGGTTTCTTATTTTCTTTAAATAAATTAGGTATCCGAAAAATACTTTCAAATATACCCTTATACCCTTTTGAAGTTTAAATTACTTGTGTTTGACAACTGAAACCCATTAAGATTTTCAACAAATCGGATCGGTTTTCGCCGTTTTAAAGACTAGAAAACGGGCTCAAGTTTGATAGAGATGTATTAATCGGCTTTAGAACATAAAGTATTATAAAAGTGAAAACTCACCAAGAATGGGGCCCATGGCAAGGGAGAATATCGTGTTGAAGATGAGCTGCAGGCCGGAGGCGGCTGGTAAGCGATTCAGCGGGACATAGCTGGGTATTATGAGGGGTGAGAAAATGGTGCGGAATCCTTTGCCGAAGCCGATCAGCAGGAAGACGCCGATCATGACGTGGTAGGACGTGGTGAAGGCGACAACCACGCGGCCCACAGCGATGCAGAGGATGCCGAAGGCGAACAGGACCCGATTATCCAGCTTCACCTTCTCCAGGGCGAGCGGAGCCAGGAACCGCACCGTTATATCCATGGTGGCCAACAGCGACATGGCCAACGTGATCTGTTTGTCCGTGTACCCGAAGCTATTCAGAATAAAGGGAGTCAGCACCGAGAAGTTCATCTCGCCAAACATCATGATGCTCATGCCAACGGCCAAATTGACGAACGTGAAGTCCCGCAGCAGATCAAGATCGAAGAACTTGGTCACCTTCTGGCAGAAGGTCATGTGTTTCTTTGCCTCCTCCTCATCTTCAGCCAGCTGATTCAAGAGGTCCACCTGGAGCGACTCGGCGGTCTTCTGCAGCAGTGCCTTGTCAGCGGCGCAGGTGCAGCGCAGTAGTTCCTCCTGACCAGGTCGGGAATAGACGCTCGTCTTGCTGGCATACCGATCCATGTCCTCGCGTTCACGATTGAAGTAATTCGGCTTGTACAGGGGCACTGGTGTGCTCTCCTGGCCCTGCTCATCTCTATTCTGCTCCAATCTGTCGAGATTCTCACGACTCCTGGAGGAAACCTGACGCATCAGCGCTTGGCGAGTGCGATAGCGAGCTCCCCCGGGTCCACCCTCTGCAGTCAAGGAGTGCTTAGATCCGAACCAACCATCATTGGCACGGGCCAACATGGGAGTACCCGGATCGGTGATCTCATAGCCAGGTCTCTCGGGATCGTCCACGTTGAAGAGGTACTGCGAAGAGAAGAGGCCCCGCTTGCCACGCTTCTGACACTGGCAGTACTTGCACTCGTAATCCTTCCAAGGATCATTGCTAGGAGACAGGAGATTGCCATTGGCCTCCAGCCCTTCCGACTGCAACTTCTCCGACTCGGCACCTCCCTCAGTTTCACCTGCGATGGGTTTCTCCGGCTTCTTCACATGCCACAGCACGGGCTGGAGGGTCAAGGCGCAAAGGATTGCATTCATGCCTATCCCAGCGTAGATCAGAATGCTGCCCTGGGGTCCGTAGAAGTCTACCAGGAAGCGGGACACATGGGGGAAAAAGATGGGACCCAGCCCCGTGATCGTCCACGAAAAGCCCGTGGCTCGTCGTCTCTTCTGCTTGAAGTACGTGTTAACCGCCAGCGAGGTGGCCGCCATGGACAGGCCCAGTCCGATGCCATATATCGCCGACAGGCAGATGATGTACTGCCAGAAGTTGGTGCAAAAGGCTGATATAAAGATGCCCAAGAAGGCCAGAGTGCTGCCGGTCATAGCCACCTGACGGAAGGTGAACCGTCGGAACATGGCTCCATTGACAATGCCTAATAGAATGAGATCATCAATAGGGATTTAATACTATCTCTGGAGTTAAAACACTTACCCACTAGCGAGGAGATGGCCATCACCACATTCACAATAGTCGTCGTTTCCTTGGCATCAAAGCCCAGCGAAAACATGCGATCCCTGTAGATCAAACCATATTGCTGCAGGGCCGGGAAAAGGAAGAACTGCACCAAAAGGGGACACCATTATTAACTATCTCGACTGGGAGGCGTCTGTATAACTCACATTATTCAAGCCCGCTGCCAGGCAGACCACCCAGCCCCATCCTCCGTCGGGCGCCACGAAATCCGGACCCAGATCGCTCTTGTCGCGACGCTTCGGCTTCTTTGGCCGCGTTGTGTCATTGTACACATGGGTGCGATTCTTCTCCGTTAAGCTGGATTTCTCCATTGTGCTGCGATTTGATATGATCCTGAAAATGCAAGACGTTGATTAATGACGTTGCCTTGCGGTTGAGATAGAGTGGGGTTCAGTCGTTTGTCTGGCTTACTTCTTGTTCTGGAACGCAGAACAAACTTAGCCTACTGATGCTATTTAATATTTATGTATACAATTGCTAATTAAATAAGACCCCTGAGGCAATGTAGATTTATAAAAAAATATCATTTTTGTGACATTTGCGAATTTATTTATTGTCGAAAATTGTTTTTACGGCTTAGCTTGGCATTAAGTGCATTTTTGTTTGCAATACTATTAGTACTTCTGAGTATTTCGGGTTTTCCCATGTTCTTCACAATTTTAAAGTGCTAAGTGTTAAATAAATTGAACATGGAACTCCAGAGGTATCAAAACCATTTTCATTAAGTAACACCTTTTTCCTGAGAACTCTTTCATTACAAGATGGGTATTCTAAAAGGGCATTAAATCCCAAACCAAGCACTGATGACTGGGCAATTTGAGATTTGTCTAAAAAATTCACCAGTGAACCCCACTCCAGACAACATATTCGCATCCGGCGTTTTTCCAAATTACAATAAATATAGGGAAAGCTGCCATCAGACTACACTGACATTATCACATATTTAAGTGTCCTATCGACAGTATATCGATGGCACACCCTTAACAACTTTTCAGAGGGGTCGCGGTTTGTCGTGAAGATAATGCTCTAATTGCTAATTGTGATTGCAAAAGATAGCTGAATTGCTGGAGTCATTATATGACTGTCAAAGGCATTTATGGTTGGACGGGCGGGTCTAATCGAGTGGCTCTATCATAGATATTGCCACATTTTCTATTTTTCGATTAGCCATAATGATGGGTGCGTCACACTGAGCTTGGTATGCAAAGCGTGCTTCCTCCGCCACAAGCAAAATCTGATGCAATTGAACGATCTGGAAGGGAAATCACTTAGCGGGTGTGTTCCAGGAAAGTAAAAACAGGAAAGGAGCTGAGTGGAAAAGCCGCCAGACCGGACCATCGTTGTCATCGTTCGGTTCTTGCGATAATCAAAAGACATGTTGTAAAAATAAAAACATAGATCGGGGAACGTGAATCGCGGATCTCATCACCATGGCATCCCGTTTATTTATGCATCGATAATGCGAGGACGAGTGCAGCTAGTGCAGCCAACAGTCACGATATGTCTTCATTCAGACATATTTCGCCCAGTCCCCACGAAATCCCGTCTGCCTCCATCCGCATTGCCATTGAACTTCATCGAAGCGTGCCATAAATTGACGCCCGCAGCAAGTCTGAAACCAAGTCTGGGATCGAGGGACGGGTTTCGAGGCACCATCCATAGCCCCCGACGATGGCACTTAGCAGACTCAGCACAACTCCCGGCAATCGATCAACTGGGAGAAAACTGGAAAGGGAGTCTGGCGGCATTGACAAAACGAAGCAACAGATACACTTCAAAAATTCAGCAAGCAGTTGAGGTGGTTCCCAAACGTAACTTGTGTACCACAAGTCTGTTTGGTATTGACTCAACAAAAAAACAAAAACTAAAAAATGTGTTATAACGTCTCTGCACAACATATACAGGTCACTAAACTATAAAACCATAGTTGACATTTACCTAAGATTAGAAAAAATAGCATGATACATTGAACTTGGGTCAAAATATTGGTAGTTAAATACCTAAAATGCTTACTAAAAAGCCATAATTTAATTTAATTTTCACGAACTGAGTTCTTGTCTTATTTTGTAACTTTAAGTGAGCTGTAAAAAGTAACTGGCCAATATATCTGATTATATATAATCTTAAACTTCTATCTGATATGTAAGGTGAACAGCTTTGACCGGTTGTAAATTCTATAAAGACAACAAAAATTAATTACGTGTACTTTAGACAGTAATAACAAATTGATAATCGAAATGTTATGTTCGTTAGCAAAAATATTAACTTTCCAACCAAGTTAACACTATGTAAGAAGTGATAAGTGATTTTAAACTAAAAGTATATTCACGTGACTATAATAATTTATCCAACACAAATTTGTAGTTCTTAAATAGAATATCAATGCGGTATCATTTAAAGTAAACAAGATTATTAGCATATAGGAACTGTGTAGACAATTAGAAATAAAAGCTTAGTTGTTACATGACTTGCAAGTCATGGCATGACAAATTCGTACTCGATAATGCTCTCCACTCGCGTGAGAGTATTAAAGCTAAACTTTCGCTCAGAGTCGTAATATCGAGCAAGTCGGAGCGATCGAGCGATCGAGCGATTCAAAACATTCCGGTTTCGAGGTTGGGTCAGAGGCGACGAAATCAAGAGAGTGAAATCCACCACTCCAACTCTAATAAAAACTGATAAAAAATGTGACATTCAAAAATAAAAATCTATAAACAATTTGATCTAAAATGCCTCCTTTCCAAAAAATACTGGATACGCCACTGGGTGGAGGGAGCATTACTTGAGCTCGGAGAAGTGCTGTGAGCGGTTTCCGCAATTTGTCGTCGATGTTTTCATATAAATTGCATTGTATTTTGCGCCGTCATGCCGCATGGCCAACAATTTCGGTAGAAAAACAAATACTCATGCTACTTTCATGGAAAAGACGAGAGTTCAGATAAAGCTAACAAGTGCTGGCGACTATATAAAGTGAAGCGGCAGACTATTGGGAATTTCACATTATTGTTTAATTTGGCAAAACGTGTTCTGTGGCCCAATAATGCCTTAATAACATACATTTTGATTTGTCATGCCGATTAAAATAAAAAAAATCTGTTGATATGGTCTAACTACTAGACCTATTTTTGGATGAACTGCCCGTCGGTAATGCGCTTTTACCTATAAATTTGCATTGTAATGAGGACGCCGAAAAAGTCAATAAACAAAGGGATTTGTTGGGATTATTGTCCCCGAATGTCTTTATCTTTTGCACGATAAGGCCAGGCCAGAACAAATGAAAAACCTTACCAAACAAAGACTCAGTTACAACAGTATGGAAGCCCAATTCAGCATACAGATTGCCCAAGGATTGGCAAATACTTTTTGCATTGTTCAGATAAATAAGTATAAATATGGTCATGGATACCGATAAGTGCAAAAAACACGTGCTGTTTGTCGAAAATCTACACTTCAAAATAAATCCTTAAGAGGGTAGATATGTAATTAAAAATACCAACATGGCAATCTAATCATTTATTGCATTTTGTTTGGCTACAATCAAGTACATATGTATGTTATTATTTTTACTTTTCTTAAATCATTTTGGACTTAAAGGAAAGTAATACTCTGATATGATATGATCAGTTTAGGGTACATTTAAATGAATGCAATGTTTTTTTCTGTGTACCAATTCACAGGTCTGCTTATAAAACGGCCTTATCGCAGTCGGATGGTAACTATTCGGGGCTGATGACTCACTCGCGAAGGTGGATAGATAGGGCTCTCGATGGCGGCGGCACTATTGATTAGGTCCGATCGGTTATCTCCGGTCGGGACCAAACGGAGCCAGAAGACAAATAGTGAAAACACTTGTACCTTCTCAAGTTCACGACATGCACACTTAGGCATCAGAAAAAATACAAGGGAGTGAGCGTGTAGAACAGGTGCAGCTAATGGGCGAACAAGTATCGAACAAGCTTCCCATTGATACACTTAAAAACAAACTGAGATTTAAACAACAAAAATTGTACAGAAAACTACAATAGATTTCTTGTACTAAACAAAAAGTTTAACTGATTTTAATTAACAAATAATATATAATTAACTTATACCACGCAAACTAGCAGTTGAGAATTTAATGCATACTTCAATAAATTAAGTTTCTCTTTTCCGGAGAACTCATTAATATTCGAATTTATTACTATTTTGATTTTTCAATTAAAGAAAGTTTTCTGCAAGTGTCTCCACACGCAACGGAAGTTTTCTCCAGCATTTTCGCTCGGCCAATTGGCCCCTAATTGAGATTAATCGGTTTGCTGTGTGTGTAATAAACGGAATCGAATTGTATATATACAACATGTGAGTATTCATTCACATATAATATGTTTAGACACTGGGCAAATGGGTATGGGAGAGGCGTCAACAAATTGTCGCTCAGATCGTTTTATTTCACAAGCAAACGCTCCAATTAAATTGTGTCAATGAGAATTGATTAAAGCTTAGAGATATGAGCGTAATTGATTCGCTGCTAATGAGAAAAGTAAGAGAACGACAAGTTTCAGCTGATCAAATACTATCAAATACTATTTACAATCTCGCTAAAAGTAATCTTTAAGCAGATAGTTTCGTTACGTAGCACATCTTTGTAAAGGGAAAACAATCCGCCCATCATTGCACTTATGTACAGAAGCTTTTAGAAATTAAACTCTTCGTCAGTCAAGGCATACATAAATAAAATTATAATCACCGACTTTTACGTATGGGGGTTTTCTTTTCTATGCTTTGGAATAGATACCATCTATCATTGAGATAATGGCCTAGATCTTTTAGAAGATTTTATATACAGATTATGCTTTGATCTGATTGAGAACAAAATGTAGTATAAGGGAAGAGTCAAAACAAGTAATTTCACAATGCTTTCAAAATCAGTGCCCAAAAGATGAAAATTTTTTCCATTTCGGAGTGAAAGCAATTTACAACTGAATAAAACATTTTAGTAATGTTTATTTGAAAATGTAGCTATTTTTATCGTAATTTATAGCACTGTAAAAATTATATTTCAAAGAGTTTTCATAGTTATATCACAGCAAAATATTTTTTTTTTAATTTACAGGCTCATATGAATTGCATCTATTGATGCTTTTGAATTTTGCTTGTGTGTTAACAAATATGTAGATGTCCTAACGTTTTCTGATTTTAAATGTTTCCTCATTTAAAACTGTTGTAAACATTTGTCAATGAACACAAACGATTGCGTTGAGAGGCGTACTTTAGGTTTGGGAGTGCAGCAACGTTGAAATTGTAGCTTAGAGGAAATGATTTGTATGCATGAAGCTAAAAACCGGTTTCAGAGATCAACGGTTATTAAGGAAAGTCCGCAACAAATCTGTTTGCATTGCATTTTACGGCATCAAGGTGTCCAATTAGGGTTCATTTGTGCACCATACGCGTTGAATCGTAAAACCTTAAAAAGAACCCAGGTTATTTTTCCGATCTCCGAGTTGGCGCCTGCTACTCTTGTGAAGCTGATGTAAATGAACTGCAAAACTCATAAAACCAAAACCAGAGTAGGAGAAAGACTAGGGGCATAAACTACAGTTGAACTTCGCTAAATGAAACCGTGAAAATGCATAAGATAAACTTTTACGTACTTTAAAATACTTGTTTTGGGTGTAGTCTTAAATATTATTTAATTGTTCACTAAACTTAACAAAATGCAGTTTGGCAACCAAGAAAAATAGTTTATGATTTTAGGCTATTGAACGTAGAAAGGTATAATAATTAATTCAATACTAATTGATTTAAAGCCTAAATTTTGTAGTTCAAGCCGACAAGATTTACTTCTATTTTTTGGGGTGTTCAAAAGTTAAATGTAAATCCTTTTGAAAAAATGTAGGTACTACCAGGAACCGAACAAGATCCTTATTTCAGACTTTGATTTTTTAAATATTTCTAAAATTATTATGCTGCTCTGTTTTTAAATTGGCTGATTTTAATGAACTATGAGGGCAAAATATTAAAAGTCGTTAGTGCCTACATTTTCAAATTGAAGCAAGTAAGGTTTGACTGTGGCTTACATTTTTTTTAGGCTTTGTTCTTTTTTCTTTTTGGTTTAGTATGGTATGGCAGTGCGTCATGCTTGGTTTGAATAGAGACTAAAAATGGCTATTAATACTCCAGTGGGCCTGGACAAAGTTATCATTCATGTGCTGGCTGGCTGGCAGCACTCAATTGCATTCGAGATTATGAGCAACGTGTTTGGGTTCGGGGCTTGCTATTTTAAGGCGCATTTCGAATGATTGTTATTGCCCTCGGCCCTCGCCCGGCCACAAAATAATCCCAACACCCGACGCATTCTCACATGTGTGTGGCGGTGTGTAAGTGTTGTGCCGTGTTGTGTGATTCGAAGTGAAAATGGGAATGGGAATGGGATTCGGGATGGGAATGGATATCGGAATGGGAATGTCAATCTCCGGCACAATATCCCCATGCCCATGTCGCTTGCCTATGCAAAGCGTTTAATGCACATTTCAGGCCATTCCTAGGCACTTCTCTTATTTTATTTTGTTTAATTTTTTCTGTTTTCTGTATTTGTGTCTCTATTTTTTTTCGGCCCAGTCTTGTTCAGCCGAATAAACTCACGTACTTCAACCCGACTCCCAAGTGCCTTCCGTGAAGTGAAGAGGAGGCGCAGGAGAAGTGAAGTGCAGGCCAGGCCAGTGCACTGCACTCGTGAAACCGAAAACCAATCCCAGAAATGCTCTTGGGCAAACTGGCCAATGGTTCCAGTTTCAATCCCTAGATGCTAATTCCACTTGGGTGTGCTGTCAAACCAGACAAGTGTCTGACACACGATCTGCTACATGGGTCACTGGGAAAAGAATTATTCTATAATCATAAATATTATTAGAATAAACCAAAAAAGATAATTTATGGTTTTTTTGGGTCCTTGAACAACCTTGTTTTTTTATATTAACTAGCAGCTGAAGTAAAAGTTTAATTTTAGCATTTAAGATCAAAATTCTCCCATTGAGATACCCTACAACTCAAATGCTTGCCCTATAAATTGATAAGTCATAAAGTTTTACCAAAAACCGATCATAAAATCTCTTATCGAATTTTATTTAATATTTCCTAAATATTTTATGTTATTAGTTTTTAAGCAAGTGTTTTTAAACTAAGTCATGAAACAATAAAACAGTTGAATTCTTCAATAAAATTAACCAACCAACTAGCTAGCTTAGTTTCCGAAATAAGGTCAAATTTGATGAACTATTTTAGAACTAAATATTCCCAGTGAAGTACCACCTTGCCCTACAAAAAGATACATCATAGCATTTTTGACCGATTTTTAAAATGTTCAAAATATGAAATGCCCTGTAAAAATAAGTGTTCAACAAGACAACCTAATTTAAAAATGTTTTTAAATATTTGTTGGCATTTAGTGAGCAATTTATATCAAAGCCAATAAACAAACAATTGAATTTTTCAATGAATTTAGCCCAAGTAAAAATCTAAATCACATTCCGACTTTTTGGAGCCTTATCACCTGCGATTCGACGACTCTCGAGATTCTCGACTCGTTGTGGACCTTTAGACCGGGGTCTTTGTTGAGTACATAATCCCCGCGGGGAGGAAATACTACTATTGTACGATAATCATTGCAAAAGCACGTAAGCAGCTTATAACTGTTGATTCTATTGAAAATCAAACTAAATGCGAAATCTCCCATCAATTTTCCAGCTCAATGCATTTAGATTCCCAATTGCAGAGCCAAAAAGCTGGCGATTCCTTTGTTTACCCGTTCTATCGCAACAGGTTATGTTGGGGGCAGGTGGTTAAATAGGAAAAGTCAGTCGGTCAGCCAGCATTTCGACGGCTTTGTGTGCCGACAGCTATTAAATGGATTCCCCTCGTCGACTGACGTCGAAACCTTGGCAACCGCAGTCAAGAAGCCTCTGTCTTTGAAAGCTGCCTTGTGGGTGGTTAGTTTGCTTTTTAATAAAACGGATATTATGAACTATGCTTTGACTGGAGTAAAGAAGTTTTAATTAATTACCCCCAGTGGCTCAAAGGATTCCCAATGAGAATATGAAAGATATATGATAATATTCCTGCTTTAGATTTTTTCAGCCTGAAAGTCCTTCAAAAACCTTGAATGTGACAAGCATTTCGGTAAATTTACTGCAAATAATAACTTCGATATAAAAGGGAAACAATTAAACTATTTTAGAAATATATTTAATGATACCGTTGGTAAATCCAATTAAAATAATTCACAAAACTCCAAATTGGATTTTAAAAAGTTCATGAAATACAACTAGTATACCGTGAAACGCTCAATAATATTTGCATAAAATATGATTTGCAAATTAAACAATATAAATAAAATAACAATGTTTAAGGTTCTCTACAATTAAATCAAAAATTTACTATAGCACATATACAACAACAACAAAAAAACCTTTATTTATTTACTTAGTTTATAAAATAAATATATAGCTATTTTATATTTGTTATATTAGTGTATATTAAATACAGTTTCCATCGAATCTTTAAATTATCCACTAGACAATGTAAATGCTTTTAAAACCAATCGGTTTCAGATAAGATTTTCTGCCTTCCAATATTTCTTGTGCTTCAAATGCCGAAGCTATTTTTACAAAATTTGATTACGTTTAAAGTTTATATAAATTGGCTTTAAGTATACCCTGCGATGTTTAGAATGCACTCGTCGTTTGAAAACCTGGCACCCGGATTCAGGACAGCACCTGGGGCCTGGCAAGCAGGAATGGGAAAAACATAACATCACATCATAAAAATGTGTAATTCAATTTGGTAAACATTTTCTGCTCCCTGCGATGGTTAGATAAAAATAAATCGACAGAAAAAACGCTGAAACCCTTGGAAAAACTCAATTTGGTCCAGGGATCAGATCAACCGGCTGCCGGGAAAGGGATTTTAAGATGAAATGGTTACACCCGAGCTTGTAAAATATACAAGAACAAATATGTTATCAAAAATCACCTAGTTGATTTATAACGTTTCAAATGCAGTTTGTATTATTCGTAGATCCATTTATTAATTCGAAACCGATTGGTCAGGCCATACTTTGATATTTGAATTGCAAATTTTTAATCACAAATGTTCTCGTTTTCCCATTAAGACACAGATCTCAAAAACCGTAAAGTTTAAAGATCATTACTCGAAAACCAAAATTCAAATTTGATCGACCATAGTAGAATATTTAAATTGAAAGATTTGAATCACTTATTTGGTCGTATTCACATAACTTTTGTACATACATACATATGTGTAATACCTATATACACAGATCTTTTAATTCCGAAACTGTTAAATTGCAAGCGATATATACAAATCCCTTTAATATTCCAATAGATTTGTATCATACTTTAAATGTATCACTTTAAAAAAATTCTTCACTTATTGGGGGAAACTTACAGGGACTTCCTCTTGGCGATTTTCTTTTACAGGTTGCAGATTGCTTGATGATCAGCTCCTTTTGACACTTTTTTCCTTATGGGATGAAGCACAGAGAATATAAATGCACAGCAAAAAACAAGGAACACGTGGGGCGTCTAACAACAGTTAGTGGCGAAGAACAAAACACAATGCTGTGGCTCAGCTGTTTTGGCCAGTATAATATTTGTATTGGTGTTAACAAACAAAAAAACTCTTTCGTTGCTCGTGGGAGTTCGTTTTTTAGTAGAACTTGGACTCGGCTCGTGCGGATTCGTAGTCCGCTCGTGTTTGTGTTTACTGTTACGCGGCCAGCCGTCGACTTGCGGCTGGCGAACTGCTGCGGTCTGCTTTATAGCATTTCATTTCACGGCTGCCGACGCAACTCAACGCTGCTCCGAAGTGAGAGCGAGATGGCCGGAGAGAGTTAACTGTGCACGGAAAAAAAATTCATGAGCTTGAGTCAACCGACTTAACTAACCATATGGGATTGTCTGGTTAATATTTTTATTAGTTAGTTAATCATTTTTAATTCTTGTTTCGATTGTTCTTTTAATGGTCAACTTAGCTTTCAAAAAAGTACCCTTTTTAAGACTTGATTTCGATTTTTTTTTTATCCTATGTGTTTATAATTCCCAACTGGTTTTACACCGCCAGGTCAACTGGTTTTCAAATAGGTGAATTTCCTGTAAAGTAATTATTCATTTTTGGTTTTTCAATTGTATCAATCACGAAAATTGTTACTTTCACGTAATAATTTGTTGTTGTTTTTGTAGGACAATACGATTACTATAATTCTAGTGAAAAAAACGTATTTTTTGTAGGTTGAGCATTTTAACAGATTATTGAACTTACCAACGAATTTTCTTCTGTGTAGCCTGGGCGGGAAGAGCGTGAAGATGATAAGCTCTTCATTTGATGCGTGGGCAGTAGAATCAACAGGATAGACCCTGCACAACAAGTGTAGCAGGAGCAGGAATTGCAGCATAGCATGCTATGCAGCAGCATTAGGCCGTGCCAATTAACAGTAGTTGCCGGGCAGCTGCCATTTTTTTCTCTGCTACAGTAGGTGCATCCCCTCTCTTTCGCTCTCGCAGATGCCGGGCTCAACAGTGGGCTGCGGATTGGCTAGTGTTCACATCACAGCATCATCGTGACAACGTCAAACTTGGAATCGAAATTGAACTTGCTGGAGAGTCCAGAGAGAGATCCGCCTAGAGAGATCACTACATGGAAACAAATTATATGATATTCGCAGATTTTTCGTATTATTTTGGTCAAAAGCGCATGAATTGATATGACAATAATATTAAAACTATAATTTTTAGCATTTTAATATTCAATTTTAATTAAATATTGAAAGAACAATTTAAAATGCAGTGCCCATTTTTTTATATGTATACAAAAATCGCGAGAGGGAGTTAAAAAGAGAGCCGCTCTGTGGACCATACCAACTGTTGCCACTTGCCGGCCACACAGCAAGTTCAAAGGTCGCCGGCCAGGTAGTCAACAGTCACTAATTGGTCGGAAACAGCCACCAATACACGGCGGAAAAACGATAGCTGCTACTTGTTGAAATAATGTAAAAGACATTTTACTGCGAAAATTCAAAAAATTAATATTAGAAGCCTGCAAAATATTATAATATATTGTAAACGTTGACCTATGGTCTTTTAGAGGTATTAAGTACTTACTTTAAAACATATCCTGTATTATTTTTTTGTTCTGCATCCTAGCACTAAAAGTATAGAATTATTTTTTAATTTGATAGTCACAGCCAGAATATATAAATATTTTATACCTGTGTAAACAAATTTGTTTGGTGTTAGGGTATTTTTGAACCTGACTTCCCGGCGAAATAAGTATTGAGAACCAAGGATTTTTAGGGGTTAACCACAGTTGACGATCGTTAAACCTCTCATAAAAAGGAAATAGCTAAACAATTTTCCTTTCACGAAAAATATTGAGGGATTCAGCATGTCCTATTTTGTTTTACGATGGCAATAAAGTAATTATGAAAACAAGTTACCTGTTGCACTATCATCTAAAAGCAAATCCAGGTTTTCAAGGATAAATCGGTTGGTAATGAGCCATCCATCATTTGTCTATCCTGTCTCATCAATAAATTACCAAATGGCCAGCGAACTAATCAATCTGACTCAGTAACCCTTTTCAGTTATATTTATATATCTATTTTTGACCCACTGTGCAGCGAACTCTGTCTTGCTCGCTCTCTCTATCCGACTATACGACTCCCACAAGCTCTCCCTACATAAAATACTCCTTTGAAACGGTGAGTTTGCCCATTTGTCCCTCTCTTCCCTCCCATCTAAACATACACTAGACAAAAATACGACTAACTTAATATAACATGACATTGTTACAAAAATATTAGAAGGATAGTTATCTCCATTGCGAATTTTGTTTGTATTTAAAAAAGCTCTTTCGGTTTTAAAAAAGTCAAAAAGAAGAGAATATAATGAAAGGAAAGATCAAAAGTGTTGTTAGGTTACATTTCCAATTAATGCTTTATTTTAAACATTTTAGTTAGCTATCTTCAATATGGAATAATGTTTGGAATTGCATTTGTAAAGCTGGCTGTAAACGATGCATCGACAGCCTCGTAGGCAGCTTATTCACCGATTATAACTCCTCCACTCTATGAAAATAGGTTTCTCGTTTTTCCACCGTGTATTGGCCTCATGACATTGTGGGAGCACTTTCCGCCTCGCTGTGGCCCCTTTTACAACAGGTGGTTGCGGTGTGGCGGGCATTTCGCTGGCTAGAGAAATTACAATACTGCTCCTGCCGGAGATATACGAGCAAACAAATCGAAAACGATTCTGTGCATTTATAGCTGAATTAATACATGTTATATATGGATCGTACATATGTTCATGTGTCCGCAGGTACTAGGTGTGTGCATGGAAATCAACTATCTACATTAGCATTTTATTCAGCACGATGATGAGACATTGCCGGCATAGGAAAGCGAATTTGCTGAGACCCAATGAGTTGGTGACTGTCGGCAAGTTGTGTTGTTGGTCGTTCTTGATTTTTAACAAATACAAATAATACTCGTTTCTGTACCCGCACTTTTCGATGGGCCAGTTCAGTCGGTTCCCACTTCAAGCAGTATCTCTCTGTCGTTTGCGGTTTTTTCGTTATTTGTTTAATTTCTCCTTGATATTTTTACTGCCTAGAAGCGGGAGGCGTTCAAAAAATGCTAATGGAGCGTGCTTACATTTGTGTATATGTGTGTTTCTATATCCCAGGTATTACCGAAATATTATTCTACCTGATTGGGGGAAAGTTTTTACTATTGTATGCGTTAACAACTAATTATTGAATATGGCCAAAGAAAAACTTTCAACAAGGTTTGTAGGTATCATGTGTAGGTCATTCATGAGTCGCATAACCGTTGTTATCAAACGACAATGACAAAGACAACACAGACAGCTTGTTGAACTTCAATTTGTACTATTTTCACCGGTGTTCGATAACAGAACCCAACCCTACCAACAAAAATAAATCAGCTCAAGAGTGAGCATACACAGATTGAATAAAATGAAATCAATTTCATTGATTTTTGAAATCACAATTTTATCAGACAAACCAATAAACCAATGATGAAGATAATATTGGTAAGACGTAGTCCTAAAAAAGCCTTTTCAGATAAAGGATATATTCGTCCAAAAGTTTATAAAATACAAAATACCATCCAATAATTGTTAATAAATTTCGTCCAATCATGACGTTGATATAGTGACGTTGCGAAATTACAATATCCGATTATGACGTAAAATTTAGAAACTTCGAGATTATGATTGTCAAAAATTATCAACTGATTTTCCCTCACCCCATAAAGTAATTAAATTGCGAACCGCATTATTAGTCTAGTCGCACCCTTTCAAATTGGTTGGGTAAATATTAGCACCTAGATTAGACTACTTCAACTGTAAAGAAATTCCCAAAAAGGCTTAGTGATAAACTAAACGGAGCGTCCGTCATGACCAAGCTAGAGATAGGTAAAATTGCACTCCATAAAAAGTCGTCACAATCTGAATTTCTCAGACTTTAAATATTTACAACTCTAATAAGTAGGAGGAACACTTTTGTCCGACACTATGCGTCACTCAAAGCCGAAAGTCAAACAATTTTTGTTCTGGGGAACCGTGATTGTTAATATTCTTTTTGGCGAGGATTGACTCATTCCGTCAAAAACATTTTGCACGTTTATTGAGGTATAATTACTGGCAATTTTTTGGCGCTATAATGGCAATCGGGAAAAATATCGTCAAAGATTCCAGCTTTCAGCCTGTGATTGGAAAACAATAAAAAAAATTATATAATATTATTGGTTGATATGATTATATTGCGGAACATATGTATAGACCTTGAAGTTTATTATTTGTTATCACCATTTGTATTCATATTCTTTTGATTAGAAATCACACAATTCAACGTCACTAACGATAACGCTAAATATTTGCCAGCAATAAAGCTTTGATTAAAAAAGTAAAAAAATATATATGCGATCAGTAGTGACTTTTCAAATGGATAGATATTTTTTGTATACTTTTGCGAACCGGCGGGACATACCCGTCTTTATATTACTTTATTAACAAACAAAGAAAATTCTTTCTAATGTAATAAATGTGCCTTCACAAACAAATCAATTGAGATCCCAACCTGTTAGGTTGCTTGACTTAGACTTAAACGGATTTTAATAGGAATGCTTCACGGACGTTAAAAAATAAGTTTGTCAAGTTCACTTTGTACTATAATGTAGTGTCATTATAAATATCTACTAGGGAATCATGAAAAACACAGATACATTTAAAAAACTAGATCATATTTTAACAAGAAAAAGTTATTTCGCCAAAAAAAATGCGCCGAAAAGAATGTGCCTCAAAACTAAAATAAATTAGGATAATTACCTGAGTCATTTATTTTTAAAGGATAACTGTAATTTTCATTTATGAACGTCAAGTATCAAATAGATTTTACATTTGTCCATAAATAGTAATATAGCTAACACGTGTCAAAACCTGTTTTTTAAATAAAACTATCAAATTCTCTAAATTTTGGTCCTGCATCTTAAAAAGGCTGACAAAAAAGTGTTAATACCTTTTCTGCAGTAAAATAAAAATAAAAAATCCCACTGATGTCGCTATCTTTTACGAAGAAATGTATAAGAAGCATGCCTCCTTTTTACGATATGATATTCCTCCTTCAGTCATAATATTTAAACACTGCAACCAGCAGGAGCAGCATACCAAAAAGCCACCGCCACACTCCAATTTCGCCAGGCATTTATGCATATCCACCACTGCAGCAACATGTTTGTGGAGTCCAAACGCCGATGGGTCTGTTGTCGCTGTCTTTAACTTTTGGAATCAACATATTTGCGGTTAGTTTATTGACCGAGTTCGGGCAGCCCAGTCGGCACTAACCGGTTCCTTGCATCCAAGATCCCACCGACGGCAATAATGCCGAGGGTACCCGCCGTCATTCTACAAGAATAAAGAGAGGGGCGTCAGGGTCAGAAGCTAATTTCGCCACATTGTCACACACTTACTTGGCCCATCAGCAGACGAGCTGGAGGCGCGTTGTTCCAGTCCGAATTGGAGTCGGAGTACTCCACGCCACTCTCCACTGCCTCGGTTCGATTGCCCATGCTATCCAATTACCAGCGATTGCATGACACATCTCGACTGCCAGTGAGGCAACGCCATCGCAATATAAATATTAAGCAAACAAGACAGCTCTCAAAAATATTAAAAATGCAAGTTCATCGCATAAAAAATGTATCCAAAAATGTTTTTAAATCAGAAAAAAAATTTAGCCATTGACCAAACAAGAAAGAGAACCTAACAAACAACTTTTATGAAAGAAGAAATCTTTCTTGTGGAACCTTAATATTTATTCATTTCTAGACCCAGCATGGCAACTTAAAAAATAAATTTAGAATGCTTCATAGTTTGGCCATTTAAAGGTACAAACAAATAACTTTTATAAAAGAAGAAATCTCCCTTGAAGTGCACTAATATTTATTCAATTCTAGTCCTAACATGGCAACTTCAAAAATAAATTTAGAATGCTCCAGAGTTTGGCTTTTTACCATTGGTACATGTAAATGTACCAATGTACCAAAGGTTCGTTAATAAAAATAGGCTACAAACAGCAGAAGTAGCCCAATTTGACAGAAACCTTTTATTTTCGCCCTACTCCTGCATCGTAGCACACGATAATTGACTCTTCTTTTTTTTTAATTGCAGAAAATGTGATTTTGTGGAGAAATGCGAGCTTTTTAAATACTCATACTCGTTTTCAAAGTCGCTTGGCTTTAAATGAGGTGCAAATTCTCAAATGACAAAAGCAGAGTAAAATAAAAAACCATAAACTTATCTAAGGTCTCATTCCTTTCATTATTATCCAAATCAACATATATTGGAGGACTATATTCCTTATAAAAGTAGAACCGATTTCCCGACAGGCAATTTGAATGACAAAATTGTAGCACTGCGAATATCAACATAAATAATTTTATTTAAATTGTTTTTTAATTTAAACAACTGTTTTAAAGTATTGAACTACGGGAGTACATAACTTTACCCAATTCAGATCTATTTTAAAGGGACATACGTTTTAGGACTTGTGGTTTGATTCTCTAAAAATCTAAATTTCACAATTATGGTTTTACATCTATAAAAATCGGAAGACTTTATCATTTATCTGCCAAAGGAAATCGAAATAGGAAATAATACATTTTGGTAACAGCGGGAAATGTATATAAACTTTAGCTTTCTTGAAAACCCAACGAATCTGTTTGGTGGACAATCAGGGAAATTGAATGGGTAAAATCCAAACACAGCTTTATTAATATTTCGTTTTGGGAGATGATGGACAAACAACCTTTACTGATTTGTGGGTCACATTGTCCGGATGAATCAGTACGTCGATAAGAGTTCTACTCGCGATTAGAGTATCGACCACAGGCTACACGAATCTCAATGACCTGCCTTGAAAGATCTGCTCAATCCGCGAAAGCGAAATTAAATGTCGGAAGAGAACGCAAAATAGTTTTAGAAATTCGTAACACCCGTGCTGGCTGAAGACCCAATTACTGTACCCTGTTGGTAAATAAATCCAGCAAACGATAGTATCCATTATCATTGTTGGATTCATATTTTGGCGAGCCCAGTTTAAGCACCACCTAGCGGAAAAATCTAAACTTAGTACTCACTTCGACAGCGCCCTCTATGGGTTTCTGTCTATTGAGACAGAGGCCATTCCGGCAACACTCATTTTTATGAACAGCAAGCAAATAGAGTGGTGACACGAACCGAATAAGGGGTCTGGCAACGTCGCGGTCAGATGGCAAATAATTTTAAATTTTAATTAAAGAATAAGTTTTGTCTTGTAGTAAATAATCTTTTCAAATAGCGCGACACTAGGTGATCAAAAATCCACCAAAGTTTCCTTTTTTATTAGTGATATATTTATATAAAGTTAAAATGAACAGCCAAAAATTAGTTATTTGTTCTTCTTTTTAAATTAAAAGTGTAGTACTTACTTATCAGAGTATTTGAAATGATCCGATTTTATAAAGGTCCCAATATAAGTATTATAAAAAAAGTCAAAACAAAAATTAAGAAAACGAGAGTAATTATTTTATTTTCCTGCGTTTACGAAAAAATGTTCATTTAAATAGATTAAATGTTATTAGAGCTTAAAAATAAATTTGACGTTATTTAATTCATGCGAAATCCAAAAATGAATAAACAAAACTGAAAGAACTAAAAATACGGTAGCAAAAATTCTACCCCACAAATTTTTAGTCAGACATTAGTCGTGTCTTAAAAATTAAAACTAAATAAATTAGTAATTATTGGTAGTGTGTGTAAAATATTTTTTAAACAAAAATTTCTTTCAAAATTTATACCATGTTCCAAATGTTTCAAGTCGATCCAATGTGCACTAGCTAAAATGTAAACATTTTATTGTTTCCAGTTTCGGTCTTACATACTTTTTTAATCTAGTTTTTTACGGTTCTCATTAATTTTCTGTTAACTTTTTGCTGTTGTTTTAATTTTAGTTTAAAAATGTGTTAAATCTAACTTGTATTCTAACTTGCACTTTTTTTGTTTTGGGAATTCAAAGATACAGTCGAACTTCGATAACACGAACCACCTTCTGTCACCAAAAAAATTGAGTTATGGAGACTTTATTATTCAGAATTGGTTTGTCGTGTATCTATACTCTCTGTTTCCAATAAAACTAGTTCGACTTATAGAGACTTTGAGTTAGGGAAGGTTGAGCTATGGAAGTTTGACTGTAGTGATATATTTTTGCTCGTATTTATGAATATCTGCGATCCTTTCTCTCTGAAAACTATACTCTTTTGAAATTTCTTTTTTAACGCTCTTTATATTCGGCTTTCGTTGCTTTTGACACTTAATTGTTTTTCATTTAAAAATAGTTAACTTTATACTTGTGTTTAACATTATCATACAATTTTAGCTTATGTTTTTGCCAATTATGTTAGCTTTTTTTTTATTTTAAGATAAGGTATGCTCATTCGCTTTTAAGTCCAGTACTCAGACAGAAAAACATCTTTGCTAGCTAAAATGTTCATCCACTAATGTCCAGCCGATTATTCAGCTGGAGGAAAATGACTGGCTGAATCAGGCACAAGCGCTACAAATATCTTAAAAAGCACATGCAATAGGCGCTGATATTTTACGATAGCCAATTTCATGTTTGAAAAATCGTTGCAGTCGCTTGGACTCCAACAAAAAAAAAAGAAACAAGAAAACTACTCTAATTTTGGCGCCTACTAGCACCAGTTAATTTTAACGCAGCGTTCAACCATTGACGAACCAGCAGGAAATACTTAGTGAAATATGTGTGACAGCTATTGGCCTCTATTTGTTTTTCGTCTAATTGCTAGCAAATATTTCTCATTCCTCTGTGCACTGTGCCTAATATATCTGCACTGCATATCTTCTTAAAATGCAATCAGTGTTTTTCTGTATAAGAAATTTCATGTTTGCGTATTTTCGGTTAGTTGCAGAGTGCAATTTGATAAATTTAGCAAGTATTGTTTTTTGTTCAATAGTATTTTGTTTCTCTCACGACTGTGACCTGTGTCGTTGTGTAAAACTGTGTTTTTCAATTTTTCCGGCTTGTAAGGTATTTATGAATTTATTGTGCGATCATTTTCGGATTAATGACATTCTTGTGTTGCAGTTTAGTTTCTTACCGGGAACAATTTCACTATCAATTCTTGTTTTCGTTCACTTTAAATTTCTTTTGATTGAATTACGTATTCCTCATCTATTTTATATCATAGCAACACATTTTGTATACACTTTTTCATTTATCAAAATTGTATAGCATTTGGGGTCGAAAGTAAAAAAAACTACAATTAAGAAATTATACAATGCAATGTGTGGAACTGAAGTAGTTAAGCAAATTGAATTGAAAACTTTTTGAACGTGACATACAGACTATTTAATTACTAATTTTATTTAATAATAGTGTGAAGCTGTATACATATATGTATATCCTTAAATGTCGATTCGACTGAACTGGTTGAATGTGTTTGGCGCTCCTCGATCAATTATAGAGGGAGGTGGATTGCATCTACGAGCGCTCCGCGATTAAGAAACCTCTGCTTTGTATCTCACGGGCGAATTCAATGTACACGGCAACGTACATTTATGCCCAGACAGTTATTGTATTATCCCGACTTTATTATTTATACAAAATGCATTCACATACGTACATACGTTACTATCTCAATTCATTATAATATTTTATAACCATCAGACACATCTTTAAAAATATAAAACTGTTAAATAGCAAAACTCTTTGACGGTCAAAGTATTTCAGTTTGAAAAGCTTGGGTTCGGGTTGAATTAATTTCTTTCTTTTTTTTTATGTTCCTAATATTTTGATTGGCTTTCACAAAAAACCACCAACTTCTTGTGGTCTGTCACTTTTCGCTTAGATTTTCCTTGCCACGCATTTCCGTTTACGGGAACTGCAATGCAAAAGCGTTACTGGCTGTCTAGAAATGGGAAACTCTCGCAAGGACTTACAATGAAATGTGGTGCTGAAAATAATACAGCAAGTGTTGCGATAATAGTAAATAAGGTGAAAATAATAAGGCACAAACGATCGACGACCATGGCAGCGAACTTCCAATCTCGTGTTATGTCGCTTGTCTCGTCCTCTTTTTTCAGCTGGAAAAAAGACGAGAAATGTTATTAAAATACATTATAAAATAGCTAATAATAAAAAATAAGTTAAAGAAGAGGAACATTAGAACGTGGGTATTACATACAAATGTTTTTGAAATGTTTTGTTAAGTAACCCAGTCACATCATTATCATCGGTATTAATTAGAAGTGCACTCTCACCTGTTCGGTTATCCAACGTAGCTCTTTGAGGATCAGCGCCAGCTCATATTCCGCAGAGGACGTCAGACAGGTGTGGGAAATGGCCTCATGCAGGCGTCCATCCACGACAGGACCAGCTGGTCCTACTGGTCCCACGCTGCCGTCATCCCCTTGCCTGTAGTGTTAGCATAAGTACGTTTGGAATGTTAGAATAGTAATTTAACTGAGGTAATCGTACTTTGATCACCGACCCAGAAAACCCCCTAATAGAAACATGGGATAAAATGTAGATACTTTTAAAATATTTTTTCCCAAAGTTAAATTTGAATTTCCAATTATATTAATCTGCATTATTTCGGAAAGATCAATTAAATCTTTTTACAGATACAATTTTGTGTGTTTTGTACATTAAAAAGTTCATCCGGATCTTCTTATTTATATATATTTTTTTTATATAAGCTGTATAAACTTGTAATGAAAACATTTTACGCATAGTAATAATCAAACGAAAAACACATCATAACGAGGTAAGAAATTCGTGACGAACACTCGTTTTATATACAAAATCTCTGATATCAAATGTTGTGACGAAAAATTACTTTACATTCGACTAAGAAAATACTACATTTTCGTTTTTTCTCTTAAAAATGCTGTTTAATACAATTTTAAAATGATTCCAGGACCCTTGAGCCTCAATTTAATGCATCAATAGACACAAAAACTTGTATTTTAATAAGTCCCCAAAATCAGGTTTTTTAATAACATCTGAACGAAGAACGGGAGCAAATGATGCGTATATTTAGGAAGAATACAACCCTGCTATGAATAACGGTACTTTTCGATCTGACCATCGTCACTCATGGAGCGCTTCGTCACTACGTGGACTGTCGTTTACAGTGACAATTAATTAATTACTAAATACGTGATTTGTATTCCGTAATGAAGAATAAGAAACTCACCGGTACATCGTCCTGTAATATGTCGGCTGGTGAGGCAAAGTGGCGCTCGCACATCGATGATTGCAGCGGAAATCATCGTCTATATCGAGTACGTTGGCCAGCAGAGACTTCGAGGATCTGTGTTCAGGAGTGGAATGGAATGGGGACATTTTTTAGAAGCATCTAAGTGAACACACGAGGGGGGCGCGTGAAGTCCTAATAAAAATACTAGATTGAGACTGTCGTTGTTTACCTCTCCTTAAGCTCAACGTTTTGAATCTGTTGCTTTTTCTCGCCGGAATTAGATGAACTCGAAGAGGAGGGCGGCGGCGGACATTCGTAGCCAACCTGTCCGGGTCTTTGCATGCGCAATATGCAAGGTAACCAATAAAGGAATATTACTCTTATCTGTGTGTGCGAGTTCGACAGAGAGACGGAGTGTAGTTGGGTAATGCGGTTAAAAATAATAGCAATACGAATTTTTAGTATTTTTTTTTTTAATATGAAGGCCATTTAGGTTTATGTTTTTTTTTTAAATTTCATGATTAGTGTTCATTTTTTTTATCGTTGTTATCTCAGGTGGAGTTTTCGTTTTGTAATGGACACGTTAGTAACAACAGTTTTTTTTTTTTTTTTTTTAATTTTTGTTGGATTAGCATGAAAACGAGGATGATGAACAGAATGAAAGTTATTGAAGTTTGAAGATTATTAATCAGTTCGTCGTATATGTATTTATCGGTAATATATTGATACCATTTGTACGTTGTTGGTAATAGTGAATTTTGGGTAGAGCGATAATGAGTATGTACGATTGGTTTTTTGGTTTTTGTATAGGTTATTGGCACGTGCAATTGTCGTCGTTGTTGTATTCGCCATGTTGATATTTAAATATTATTAATTTTTTTTTTGTTAAGATAGTTAAAGTAACAGAGAGAGATAGAGAGATACACATGTAGAAAGAGGAAGATATACATATATATAGAGAAACAATTGAAGAGGCAATTGAGTTGAGTTATTTGCGTTGAAAGTAGTTGAGTTGCCGGTTTGCGTAGTTGTAGTTGTTGGCCAGAGTTTTTGTTGAAAAATAAATATTTTTGTGTGATTATTGATGCTGTTGTTGGTAGACGATTTCTTAAGTATGTAAGTTATATGTGTATATGGATGAAACAAAAAGGAAATCAAGGAATATGAATGAAATGGCTCTACACATTTGCAAAACATTGTGGTTCTGTCGATAGGAAAATTCATTGTATTTTTAGTCCACTACTGAAGGGTTGTGAACTTATTTTATAATATTTGAATTATTAATGGAAGAGTTGCAGCAATATTATTTTATATCAATTTTAAAGTTTCGAGAACTTCTTTCATTCTTATTTCATGATCTACATTTAAAAACATTTTGTATAATAAAATTGTTTGTAAAGTCTTTATAAAGTCTTTATAAAATATATTTTTATCTCTTTGCTATATTGATAAATAAGTTTATAAAAGGTAGTATAAATGCTTAAGAGTTTTAAACCAATTGTTTTATGAAAATAGTTTACTACCGATGGGAAAATCGTTTGAACATATTGATACCTCTTTAAGTTCAATAAAACTGTACTCCAATAGTCGGATAAGTTGCCGAAAAGTTGTCAGAACATTTTTTATTTTTTTCCTGGACGGATAATTACATATTATGCATAAACGCAAGCTTTATATGGAAATAAAAATAAATTGATTGTCTATTATTGCTTAACAATAGCAGAAATACATCTTTATTTTTAAATTAATAAGTCACAAAAGCCATTTCTGATTAAAACCTTATTTGTGAATAGAAATACGTACTTTGCCACCCGATAAACTTGACTTTCAATACATTTTTATTTCAAAATAAGCCGATAGTTACTGTATTTAAACATGCTTTGGGTACAGATATTACCAGTGTAATGCAGTGAAAGTAGCATTTCCAAACCCAAAAAGTATATGTATATATTCTGGATCAGCATCACCACACGATTCGATATGAGCAAGTCCCTCTGACCGTCTAGTTTCAGCTTTAAAGCCTTCTGGAACATTCTCAAAAACCCTATTTCTAATGGAAGTATTATTCAAAGTAACCTGGAGTTACCTTTCAAACGAATAGTTGGCTACAACTTAGTATTAATTATATATTTTGCGTAGCCTCAAAATCTTTCGGTAAAATGTATAATTGGCCAGTGTTTATTGATGGATATCAAATGACACTTAATTAACACAGATTCAAAGTTAAATATCTGTAAATAATTCATAATACAGTATTTGTGAATTGTTTTTTAAGAACCTGAAAAATATTTTTTAATATTTCAAAAACAAATTATTTCAATCAAAAATTAAAATCAGAACTCTAAACCAAAATATAAATTTGTATAAATGGGAAAAACGGAACGTATACAAAAACAGAAATTTTATTTTGCTTTTCTTTAGGTAGTAATATTTTGTTTTTAATTACAACTTTAAATTGTTTTATGGCAGTATATAAAGTCTTACATTATACAAACATACCTGTATTGCATTTAAAAGGGTACATTTCACAGAATTCGATGTCCTTTGATTTAAAGTTTCTCAACTTGGGCCAAACCGTAAAAATACGTTTATACGGAGCTTATAACGCGATTTCGTCTAAATCCACATTATGTCAAGCATGGAGTTTGCGATCTTTGCAATATACGTTTTTACATAATCTTATAAAAAATCCATGAGTAAACTACGTTTTATTTATTGGACTGGATTAAATAGAAAGTTTAAAAAAATAAGTCATATCTTATTTTAAGAGTATTTAAAGATCCGGAATAATCCTTTTTATAAAGGAAGAATTTGGGGTAAGTCAGTAGTAAATCGAAGTATTAATTTTCAAAATAAAGGGTATTTATAAAATATAGAAAATGGAAAAGTACATATTGGTAACTGCGTTTATACGCCCGTAATTTTTATAAATATAAATGTATCAATAGTTCAGATTTTCGGGTGGCAACGTCTGTCTTTCTATTAGCAAATTTGGTTTTAATCAGAAATAGCTTTTGTGACTTACTACGTTACATAAAAAAAATCTGTTGCTATTATGCAATAATCAACTCAGATACATTTTTATTTAGAACGAAGAAAGGCGCATAAATGTAGTGTTAGTTGCTGAATCGGTATATCATAACCAAAATGAAAGCGCTGAATTTGATGATGTCTTCACTTTTGTTCACAACAATTAATTGTTAACAATGTTGCCAATTCTAAAAAGCACTTTTGAAATCGTTTCTCACCGTTTTACCAAACATTTTTGTCGTTTCGGACACAATTTGATAGATCTTGATTAGAGGTTAATAAACGATTATGATTACGTTTAAAACTCTTAAGTGAAACAGTTAGTGTTTTCTTGAGATGTGTGTATGGACACATTGCTGGATTGGATCCTTTTCTTACTGTTAAGTAAGTTGAGTGGAATATTGTAGAAGACATATGTATACAGATAGGTAATTTAATTTCGGTCTCTCATGCTTTGCTTGAGTATATCTTGCAAGTCATTGGGTGAATTGATGTGATTGAGTTTGGGTGTCTATATGAGCGAAAAATATGGGTTAATGCAAATTTATGGTTTTATTATTGGTATCCTAGGTATTTACAATTAAATAGGTTTAAAATGATTTGTTTATTTTGGTAAGCCAAAACACATTTGTAACAAACAATAAATATACAAATGTTTAGCAGTGGAGTAATGCAACAATTTGAAACATAATCAGTATGTTGTGATTTATGTGGAAGGGAAATTATATTGTTTTGGTTTTATTTTTACAATGTATGAAAGTAGTAAAGTTAATTTGAATATAAAAATATTACCCATTCACTCATTTCATGCGTATCTGGATTTCTATGATGATAATTGAGGATAAGTATGGTTGACACAACTGATGAGGCCACCATAAACATAATGCAATTGAAATAAGTTCCTAGAAGGACACAAAAATTACACAAACTTGTAAAAATTATTCTTCGATTTGTTTACAATTTTCTTAACCTAGTTCCTAATCGATCACGCATTAAGAGATATATAAGTGTAAGTGTGTTTGCATAAGTGTTCGCTAAAGTGCTTTTTGTTCGTTTTTTCCACCTGTTCCCATTTCTGATTACATAAACTTGAAGTACAAATTTCCGCACCTTCGACCCAATTTAAGTGAAATAATTTTACAAAATAAAAACATACACTGACATCATGATCTTAATATTCAATGTAGTTGTTGCCTTGCTAAACAACATTTTTGCAGGAAACTCTATTTAATATATGTTACGTTCTAAATCTTTCTACGTTTTAAAGGTAGTTTTTTCATAAAGCCCAGTACTCAGTACGTACACAATATTTTTCACGCAAAAAAGTCATCCCCCAATGTATAAAAAATGGTTTGATAATTATCCTGTGTTAAAAAACAAATTAATGCAAAGCAACTGTCAAATTAATATTTGTATTAAGATATACTCAGTTCCAAAAAGCGAGGTTTTTATTTTAAGTTTGATTTGTGATATTAATAGTCACAATGAGTCGTTTCGTCTCAAAAACCTTTTATAAAAATTACAAAACTCTTCAAGATTTAAAAAAAAATTTTAATTTTACAGTTATTAGTTCCTTTTAATTCGTTGTCTGCAGATGTGAGTACTAGAGCCTTATTGTTTAGTGTTCGTTTGCGAATGGAATTCGACAAAAAATTTCATTTAAATGTACAAACATGATTACAATTATGTTCGGAAAGTTGAAGAATGATTGCAAAAAAAAGCTGCGCTGATAATTCAATATCTTAAAATTTCAATATTTGGCGAAACGAGGATATAGTGAGCCATTCTTAGCGAAATATTTGAAATTGCTATTACAAAACGCATATGTTTAAGTCGAAATATTTGATAATTTTTCAGAAACTAGAACAGGTAGCAATTTTGTACACCGCAATTTGTATTAGTAGAACGGAAACTGAATGAAGGCTGAATATGTTGTAAACAAAAGGCATAACGCACATTTTTGTTTGAGAAAAAAAAAACACTGAAATATTAATAAAGTCCTACCCACCTGCTTCTTGTGTGTGTATTACCCACTCTGAGAATCTCTGAGTGTCGCGGGAAAAATAAAATGTAAGGTACGACATCAAATTATTAAGTGCCGTCTGCCGCGGTATCTTATAGCAAACTTCTCGAGCTCATTTATTACACATTGATCCAGACAAGGGAAAAGTAGAAGTCACTTTTGTGACAAGGTAAAGGAAAGTCAACGAAGGGAACAGAGCACTATACTTTCGCGATAGAGAAAGGTTCGCAGGGTGGGCTTTGTATTTCCTCTTGTTTAATATAACTTAGGCGTGTGGGCATAGTATTAAAGAAGGTGTATCCTTTTAAGGATTATTTAAGAAAAAACAAATTAAGTAAAAACTTCTCCACTGACCCTCATGGCATCCACTAACCAAAACTCATCAGTGGCACTGACATTCCCAAAACTGTGATCGATTCAATGCGTCCTCCAGCTCCATTGTGGCTGAATAATTGGGTATCTAAACATTTAGTTGGAGGTCGATTTGGGCATTTGAACTAAACTACTCGTTTAGCTGCCACGGTTCTAATTGGCTATCGCCTTCAATCTGGGGGAGAGTGATGTCAACCATTTTTTCGTCATTAAGTGTACAACCAATTATCCGCAATCATCATTTTATTTTAAAAATCGAGATCTAATTGGTAATTTTCTTAATAGTTGAGTTTTTAGACTTATGAATATATTTTACTTTGTCTGTGTTCATTTTCCATACGGTTCGTTGTTTTTATTGTTCTTGATCTTGTTTTTCATGTTGTTGTAAGTTAATGTGGGAATTTAGATTTGGATGACGGCATTTATGAGTTTTATTAAAATGATATTTATTGGCTTGGTTAAAGCGTTTGGATTAACGTTAATGTTAAATGTCATTTGTTTTGTATTATGCGCATTGATGAAGAAATAAATGGCAATGTTTTGCTAGAAACTGATGCTGTAGGTTTTCTACATTTTTCATATTTCAGTCTACAATTTACTCGCCATATTTTAATCAATTAAAGTTTGCCATATTATATTTTGAAGCGTCTTGATTTTTTTTTAAGGGGAGTCACATTAATGTACGTTAAAAAAAATTTGGCTAATATGTTTCTTGGGGCACACACGTTCCGCTAAGCGTATGAATTGCAAATATTCTTTCAAGTATACTTAAAAAATACATTTTTCTAAAGTATGCAAACATTTGCTAAAATACAACAAAATAAACTTTTTTTGCATATTTATAAAATACAAAACTTTATTTTCAGTCCAATTTACCCTGAAGTTATAAAACGAATGGCTTGGGAGCTTTTGAAATTAAAGTTTTCGGGGTTCAATACCGGACAAAAAAAAACATTATTTTAATTTTGAAACTTTTTTTTGGTTATCCAAATATGTAATTAAAAGTAAAATAAAACAAGTATATAGCAGAGCTGGAAAACCATAGATGGCACTATCAATTATGATAATGTTTGTCTTTATCAATAAGGTTTTTTTTAGAACCATCGATTGTTTTTCGAAACTAATCTTTTTTACGAGACAAGAAAGCTACAAGTAAGATCGAAAAAATAGAGTAAAATTCTAGCGATAAGCGATATGGCTCCAGAATAGGTTACCTATCTTGTGAATGTATTTTTAGACTGCATTACAATTTATATCACTCTTTCCAGTTTGCAACATTTATCGATGGAACGATACAATTTGGTTTTGTTTATTTCCAAAAAGAACGCAATAGTCGAGATCCCTGACTATAAGATACCCGCTACTCATTGCTCTTTAACAAAAACTTTTACTTGCTTTAAAAATTATATATTTTCAATAAAAACATCTTGAACCCAAAATCATTTCTTTACCATTGAAAACTTGGGTTTCACAGAAGTCAGCCAAACTTTAAAATAAATTTGTTTAATGTTTATTAGTAAACAATCGAGAACATAGATGGTACCACACATCGATGTTTTCCCAGCTCTATAGGTACGAGAATAGTCAGTTACATATGTATATATGCCCATTATGATCTGTATGGTTCCCAAAGGGAAATGCTTTTCGAGATATATAGTTTTACGGAAAAGGTTGGCAGAATTTCAATACCAGTTAATAGGATAGCATAACAAAATAATTACTTAAATTTCTTTAAAGCAACATTTTTGTTTTATAAATTTTTGTTGTCTGGGAGAGTTATATGATAGTAGTTGTTGTGGTTTATTTACAAGTGTGAGGGGGAATTCTTCTAGCCTATGGTGTATAATACTGTGTGAGAAATTTAGTTGGTATGATGAGTTGCCCAAACAATGGAAAGTAACACAATTAAAATATTTGTGCTATTGCTTTACCACACTACTACGTAATGAAACTTAAGAGATAGCATAGTAAAAAAGTAATTAGCCAACACAAAAATGTCAGTGGAAGAAATAGTCTGCGAAAATCTTTATATGTATTGACTACTCTGTAGTCTAGTGTCCCTTCCATAAGATACCCATTACCGTCTTTTTAAGATACAACTTGTCCGCTTGAAATGCAAAAGATGTATAAAGAAAACAACCAAAGTTAAAATAAAAATGCATTGGTAATCGGAGCGGCCAAGTTTTAAAATAAACTAGTTTCCGATATCTCCCTGATCAATCGGACAGACACACGGACATATGTGAACTTAGTTGCTGATCAAGAAAATATATATTCTCTGGAGTCGGAAACGCTTCGTCCTAACTGTTTCATAAATTCTCTCGATTATAAAAAACTATTGAAAGAAACGTCCAATAAAATCCATACAAGAAATTAGTAGTTATAACGTCGCCTAAAAAAAAAGGCCCTTAATAACCCCTCTAAATATTATGGTAGAAAATATTCTCCTTTTCTAACAGCGAAAATTCTTTTATGTGTCAATACCGAGATTAATACTGTAACATGGACCGATTCAATTTTTTTCTATCAAAACTTTCTGAACTTTTATATTGATACGATACACAGCAATGCAGTGAAAGACAAGTAATTTGTTTTCCAATTTGAAAACGCTTGCACATATCAAACAAAAGCAACATTCAAAACGGAATTATTGATGAAATTAAACAAGATCTTTATAGACACGACACGACATAATGAACACTATAAGTTCTCTAAATGGTCAGATGTTTATGTTGAAAAAATTATTCTTCAAGTTTAGATTCTAATAATGTGCACGAATATACATATATATATATATATTACTAACTTACCCATTTAATTTTTTGCGATTAGAACTGTTCACTAAATTCTGGGTACTGTTGTAATTTTAATCTGATATACACATATATTATATATTCGTGCAGTATGCTGGATAAATTATAGATTGGATAGACACTTAGAAACTTATTGAAATAGTAAAAATAGAACAGAAAAACAACATAAAAGCAAACTAATTTAGAAAAAAAATCAAATTTGATAACAGCACACGAATGTTTACCGACAGCCTTTTCAGGGTGATTTACTCCATTGAATTAAGAATATGAATAAAAATATCCTGAATATAACTTACTAAAATTATTCTTTATACCTATATATTTTTATATATTTCCTAATTTTATTGTTTAGCACAATTACAAGAGAAAATTTATAAAAAAAATTAGAGTTATCGGTCTAAGTTCGCAAAAGATAATAATTTTTTTTAAGTATTAGGAATATTTTAAAATAATTTATTATTCCTAGCAAATAAACAATCTGTTTTACTTAATTGACACTAGAAACGATATTTAATCAGTTCCTATTACAGCTATAAAAAAATACATCTAGAAAGTAACCCTTTTATTCATCTTTGATAGTTTGACCAATGGTTAGGTTCATCATTCCTATGGATTTTGATTTTGATTAACTTAAAAACGCATTGATAAAATTTCCAGGCAGACGAACATGCTTAAATCGGTTCGCCTGGTGATCCAAACTTTATAGGAAATGGTCCCCTTTATTACGTTAAAAATTGTTGGCTGAAACATTCTGCAAGCAAGGGCTTAAACAATTAATAAATATTGTAATCGCAAAGATGAGTTGCCCATCAATAGGACTAGTTTATTCTAAATTTTCGGCATGTACAGACAATAAAATTCTGGAAATGCAAATTTATTCGATATGTCTATTTGGAATCTGATTAAATTTAATAAATACCTAGACAGCTCCTGGATTAATATTAATACCTTCTAGGGTCAGAACTGCTTTCGGCGAACACCAGTTATACATAACAGAGAGTTTTAATTAAATACTTTACCAAAAAGTAGCGGAAAAGTTGGGCAAAGTAAGGAAAAAATAAGCATAGATAGAGTTCAAAAAGATTCACCAAAGTTCATGTATGTGGAAATTCTGCCACCTTTAACGTTGTGAATTCCAGACTAAGTTCGTTTATTTGGCCCCATTTAAATCCGTTCCTATTTCAGTTAGTTGGTTTTAAAGTTAAATATTGCATTTTGTGACGCAGATGGATAGAACAAAAATATAAATCTCAATTTATAACTGTGTGGTCATATTCGTGTTAGTATTATATACGTGTGAGTGATTATGTTTTGAGGTGTGTATTTTGCGTGGTAAAGAAAGGGTTGAACTGGTTTCGTTTTGTAGAAACCAATTACCCTCTGTTCGATGCTTGACGTATGGAAAAGTCAGGCGGGCATTTGTGTTCCTTCATGCCAACAAGAACATTTTTTCGCATACATTATGTGGTAGTGGTCCTTGGGAAAATCTCACTGGCGGAAACAAAAACAAAACAATTAAAAAACAAAAAAACATCAAATCTTTAACAAAAACGAAAAAAATACATAAACAAAAACACATCATAATCCGAATTTGTCAGACTTGAAATATCCCAAATAAGTTCACACGAATGAATCCATTAATGTATGTATGTATGTATGTTTAAGAATAAAATTCTTACTTAAATACAAAGAACGCAAATATAGAAATAAAAAAACTTGAAAATTACAAATACACAAAACAAAAGTTCTTTGTGCTGGCACTTTAGTCGCATTGATCTCAAAGATCGGACATAAATTAAAACTCCCTACCGATTTTATTTTGAGTTGTATAACAAAATAATTCTACTTCGGCTGCATACAACAGGTATACAAATAGTAAAACTTTAATAAACTAATATGTTAATTCATAAAGTTGTGTTTTTGAGTTATTGTTTTTAGCTTGTTTTACTTTGATTGCTTGGACCTTGCATAGTAAATAGACATATACAATGAAAGTATGTAGTAATAGGTAACAAAATGTGCAGTAGTAAGATGTTACATGTTAGGTGGTGGCATGCAAAGGAAATCAAAATAGTCAATAAATATATTAGTTTTAGGCTCTTCACAAGTGTACAAGCTTATGTCTAGAAAGAAATACCCCATACTCAATTTATGAAACGAAATACATTTACATGTGCTTTTAGATTTAAAGATATGTTAACAACCGGGTATACTACTTTTATTCTTTAGTTTAATTACAAAAAAAAAAAAATATTGCTCCTAATTTAAATAACTGTTGATTTGAGTATGGGTTTTAGTAAAAAAAAATATCAACATGAAATCGTTCTTTAGTACTCGCCTATATTAACAGTGCACAGTGGGGAAATAGCATTAAAAGCAAAAAAAAATAGAATTTATTAAAGTTATTTTTTATTTATTTTGTAGTTGTGAATTTATTTTTTCCTTGTTTTTTGAAGATAATCGAAATTATAGATTAATTTTAAACTTAAATAAATAAAAAACGTTAAATATAATTACAGGCAATTGCTGAAAATTTATTCCGTGGACCATCATTAAATAGCTTTGGATTGGGATTTTTTAAAATTATTTAAAAATAATTAAAACAATTTTAGAATCGATATTGGAAAATTTTGCTTGTCTTCTGACAAGGCCAGTAATATTGATACTATTGAGATAAATTAAAACAACTGTCATAAAACTGGAATAGAATAAATGAATCATTCCAATATATTTTATTTATGAAATATATATTTTATCTTTTATGTTCATTATCAGCACCATCATTATAAATTCACTAACATACACACGTATATGAGGAAATATTTTGATTGCCACTGCATTTATTTATAAATGCTCCTATCTCAACAACTGAGTACCGGGTATAACTATACCTTTGGTCAAAATGAGTCTACGGTTTGTTTTGTGAGGTAAGGAATCTGGCCAGATTTCATAGTCATTGGATATCATCTAAATTAAATTGCGAAAACTTCAAGAAAAATGTATTTATCAACACAAAAAAAAATTGTTTCCCATTAAAATGAAACTATCTTTTCATTAAAAATGTGTTGTGTCAAAAGTGCGTAACATGCCAAAATTGTACCAACATGCAACTTTAATACAACAAAAAAATTAACTCCAGGCATTTTCATTAATTCTCTACTTTTATGATTGTATGTATTTATGCATGTGCTTGGTAGGGTTATTTTTATTTTTTCTTTAAGGGATATCGATGATTGTGGTCTCTTTATTTTGGGAAGCTAAATTTTAGCCCTTTATGTGTGCCCCAATTCACAAAGATATAATTTCTTACAAGGAAAGGCAAAAGATAAAGTTAGTGATGTTTTATTTGAACGTTGAGACGCCAAAGCTGTGCGGAAAGAAGAATCTTGGATGATTGCTAAATGAGTTGAGAGTGCGTTAGTTTAGAAACTTAGTCAGTAAATTACGTAGACTCTGGGAATGGCAGGAGTTCTGGCCACGATGTACTTACCGAGCAGTGGCACCGCATCAGAAGTGGCTGGCATGGTTTCCGCCACCATGTTTAGGAAGACTGTAAGCGATAATAAAATTGTGACTCCTGAAAGTAAGCAGCACAAGGATAAAGCGCCGCCCAAATGATTATTTCGGGAGTCCCACGAGACGAACAGGACGAACAGAAGCAGCGGCATGGAATAAGATTAAATTTAATGTTGTTAGTCATCTATATATGTACTCTCCCTTGATATTTACACATTAAATACGTGCACTATTACGATTACGGTAACAAAATATTATTGTAAGAACCATTGATCCTGCGGATTCCGCTGCTCGCGATCCTGCATTTGCGACTGCTGCCTTGCATGTCCAATGTTTTGGCCAGGATTGTCGCCTCCATTTATCGCATTCGTTGCCGTCAATAAAAAACTACTACCGTATTTTCTGCACTGAACCTCACCCACCCCCTTAGCAATACAAGTTTTACTAGCATAAAGTTCACAATCGGGTTTCAAGATCCGTTTGATACCCTGTACATGTCTGTATAATATTCGTGTAATTGCATGTGACAGGAAGTTGAAAGCGTTTCGCACATGGCTTCGATCAATACATTTTGAGGAGCTCTCAAAACCCAATATCATTTGGATACCAATTAAAAAAGAAATTAGGATTTTAAAATAAATAAACCGTCAAAAATTGTTTTGTCGTTTTTAAATTTTATATCATCTAACCGGATAATTTAAAAAATTTTAAAACAGATCATTATAATTTTAAAGTATAGTAATTAATACGAATGGCTAATATAGATCAGTAATTTTTCATACAACTTAGGCTCTTTGAGATAGGAATTTCAGAAAAATATCTCAAAATATTCCTTTAAACTTATTTTAATATGAACAAAAAAACTAAAACAAAATCTGCATGTGCAGTACATTAGTTTCGATCAATAATATATATGATAAGATCTGAATCGTTTCCTTACTTGTGCTACATACACTTTCACGAATCTTATAAGTGTACGGATACCGGGTCCAATAAATAAAAATGCAAAAATCGAACGCTTCCATTGGTATCAAATAATTTTCACACTGCCTTTAGTTAATTCTGTATTGGCATGGTGAAATATTCTAAGATAGGAACATTAGGAAGAAATCTTTTGAGCAGTTGGTGGCTAGAATGTGTTGCAGAGCATGCAAAAGTTCTACATTAAATTCCAATAGATACTCCAGATGCATTAGCATGTCTAAGAACAAAAGCAAACAAGAAGTAAAAGAAGGTAGCATTTTAATTTGCATAATCTGTTTGACTACTAGGTAATAAAGTTCATTTCGTTCTAAACTCGAACCGGTTTACTGTTTTTTTTTTTTTTTTGGTTTTTGTTTGTTGTAATAATTTGTGAACACAGAGATAGAGATAGAAGGGCAGGGAGATCAGATCAAGCCAGAACAACTGGACGACACTTACCAAGCGAAAGCTTTTCACCAGAATCTGGTGGTAGTGTAAACCCTAGCAGTGCCATGGAGGCAATCAGTACGCACGGCACAATCAGATTGAAAAAATAGTACAATGTCTTGCGTCTTATCAAAATGGCGAATGTTATGTCAATATAAGGTTCTGGGCAGCAATTATAGTAGATTTCATTTCGTTTACCGGGCACACCTGTTTGTTGAGTTTTTTTTGTTTTGTATAGTTCGAACATGTGTGTTTTTTAATAAATGGGGGGAGGTTTTGTTTTAATGACACATGATTCGTGGATGGAGTAGAGAAGAAAATATTATATATGAAATTAATAAATTATATTTAATTAGCATTAGAGGCTTAAAACATTATAATATACGGCATTGAACTGTGTAGGGTTCGCTGGCAGTAGTCTTAACTTACCTAACAGGTCCCATTCACCATTTGTTATAAAGCTGGAAATATCTCCGCCAGCTTCGTCTTGTAGTTGCAAGTCCAGCTGTCAAATAGAAAAATCAAATTTCAAGTAAATAAAAGTTTTCAATAGAGTGTTCAATGAAGTGTTATAACAATTAAAGAAACTGATAGTTACCTGAAAACCATCGTAGGTCCATGAACCAAACTTCATCTCACATCTTTGATCGTCAAATGGAAACCACGTAATATCGATCTTACAAGTAGATTTGAATATACCCGGAGGTACGTACAGGCAGCTTCCATTATTGCGCACCACTACATTTGTTGCATATGTTCCATCAAAGCCCTCATCCGCACTAAAAAAAGAGAATTAGTTGGCTTTAATGGAGTATCGCGACAATGACTATTTCATTATTTATCATTTAATAATGGAATTGTAGAAATATATATTTATCAATGAATTGCATACCTGTTATACATTAAAACATCCGGTTTCCAAAGGCGATGTGGTGGAATCCTTAGATCTCGTACACCGCCAAATTCACTGGAGTTCCAACGAAGATTCATATCATTCCATTCCTAAGAAAATAATAGCAGAAGAATTCTAAAGTATCCTTGAGCTAAAATATAAATAACTTACCAATTTAAGCCAAATATTCGTAATTAGCAGCTGATTCTTTTCATCCTGAAAAAAAACATGAGTCAATGTAGAAATATAAAAAAAATATAAAACAAGTAAATAGCTCTAATGCTCTATTCTCTATTGAGTACTTAATATATAACCCACAGCCCTATTCGTTATTGAATTTGATCCAATTATGTTGTTCAACGAATCTTAACTTACCACATCGATAATCTGCATGAGTGTTAGTCCGAAGCTCAATTGCAATGGATCGGATTCGTTGACCACCGGACGTTCTAAGCTGTTGTAGTTGTCCAGGAGGGCGTGCAGCAACCGCTTCTCATGAGGTCCAGCCGTACAAGCTATATTAAGAATAGGATAAAAATAAATGGAAAAGCCAAAATATATTAAACAAATTTTAATTAAAATTGTTTAATTAAAACTAATTTGATCGAAATTTTCGAATCGATTTCGATTCATAACAATCCGATTCTGCACTAGTATCAAATTAAAAGTTTGATCATTTTCGAAGCTCAACCGGATTCTTGTTCTAGAAATTGTTTAACAATATAGCCCAGTGCAACTATTTGGCTTTTAAATATTTCTTTCTCAAACACATTTGAATTTTTTTTAAAACATTTTTCATATCGGAATGTTATGGAAAATGAGGAAGTGGAACTTTCCTTTTTATAATATTGAAAAGAAAATAAATAATTAAAAAAAAAAATACTTTCGCATGTTTTTCCATTCTAAAATGATCAAAATCGCATTTTTTCCAATTTACTAAAATTTACTAAAGAAGAGTATACCTTCATTAATGTACAAAGAATATTGGTCAAGTAATTCGTAATGTGTATTAAATTTAAAATTAAATTGATCTGTCCTTGAAACATTAAGGAATGTGATAAAAGTATTCTTTGAAAGGATCCTAAAGCATTGAGCATGGATACTACTCACCTGGTATCATAATTAGAAGTCCCAGGCCATAGACCAGCATTTTACCACCGTTGGCAGGGGCTTCCGACAATGTGTGCGGCTGTGGGAAGCTCATGGTTTTTTCCTGACTAGGGCAGAATAGATTGTCCAGCCGACTAAGTGATTGCCTCTTCATATCTTACTTAACCCCTGGATCCGATAACCAGCAACAGCGCCAGACTGCCGACAGATTAATGGGCGCAGAAGGTATCCAGTAGGACTCAGCCTCAGCCTCCGTTCACTTTACTTCCATAGTGTTGCATTTTGTTTGTGGTCCGGTTTGGTTAGTTGATTCTGTCGATGTATAGAACTCCCTAGTCACCCGTAATTGAATTTTGGCCACTTTTCATTCAGAGTACTCGTTCGTTTGCAGTCGACCAACTTTTTGGCGGCATTGACTTTCTTCTAATCTAATGCTTTTCGTTAGCTTTCTGATTTTGATTGATTACTCATATTGTTTCGCCTCTGGTTTAGTTTCCTTCTAATATGTTTTCTTGGCCTTGATTGTACAATCCTTTCTTATTCCCAACAATTTCGGAATATATTTACACAGCGATACATTTTTGACAGGCTGTAAAAAAAAATTATAATAAATCAATTTAATTACATCACAAAATAGATTGATTAGTTTTAGGTATGCGACTTTTTGGATGATTTAAAATCTCACAAAGAAATAAATCTTAAACCCACGTGGAACTTAAACGAGGATCGGAAATTTTTAAATCAAAAACACGAAAGTAGCCCTCGTAACTCTTGGAATTTGAATGACTTTCCCCGTTGGTGTATTTTTTGATTCTGTATAGAAACTCGGTGGTGAATATTATCTGTTAAAATCATGCAATCATCGAACCAAATTCTAGACCTTAACTATATAATTGAAACAGTTAATAAAGACAGCAAATATATAATATGATTTCAAAATGTAACATTTATTAAAAATACTAGACATTTTTTTTGGTGCAAAGCTCGTAAAAAGCATTTCCATTGGGTCTTCCGGCTAAAGGGCTGATTTAACTGAAGGATAACGACAATGATTACGACAATTCCTTAATGGCCTGATGCCACACCTGAAAATAAAAATGATAATAAATATTGGCTGTTTATGTTTATCCTTGGGTGCGGCTTAACTTACTCAACGTCACTCCTTGCATTTTATATTAACTTTAAAAGACGCTAACAAAGTGTCCGAATCCTGTGCCATTAAGGTGCCTCCACACCCATTATTTTGATTATTATGATTTTAATTATTTTATGATCCCACACGGATCATCGAGATCCGTATCCAAAAAGCTATGCAGAGCAATCTACAAAAAGACATTTTATAATGTACTTTAAAATCATTGGATACATTTTCCTTTCAAATTCTGGAGTGCTGTCTTGTAACAAATATTTGGTAATAACATATAACAATATCATTTAAATTTAATAACACTTACTTGTAAGGCATATTCCATATATTCTTGCAGCATTTTTAATTTGCAGCAAAATGTAGTCAGCACATTTCAAAATGAAGTTCCATTCTGTAAAAATGCAGATATCAATTATTTTTGCTGTTTTAAAAATACAAATTTCTTGAAATTACTACTTTGGGATAAAACAAATTATATTTGGACTACAAGTTAACACCAGGAGATGAGCCTTGTGTAGATAGAGATGGATCGGGTGAAAGATTTACAAATAGGAAATTGGATTATAGCAAAATTCCCATAAATTCAAAGCGATTTGATTCATGTAAGTCAGTTCACAAGAATGGAAGTTGAAAATTGGAAATTATTTATTATAGCGCTACATTCTAATCAAGCATATATAGGGCGGCTAAATAATACGAGAAGTAAAAAGTTAAAATTTAAGCAAAAAGTCTTCGGTGCAGATAATAATTTTTTTTTTGTCAAAGACTTCTATAGGACCTTATTTCGTTGATTACTTACAAATATTTAAGCTTAACAAATAATTTAAAGATACATTTATAGAATTTTAATTTCACTAACAATTTTATATTGGGCATTATCTTATTAATTTGCACTTCTTAAAAGCAACAGATTTTACAAAGTTATTTCATTATTTCACTAACAATTTCAATTTGGGCATTATCTGATTATTTTTCACTTCCTAAAAGCAACAGATTTTACAAAGTAAGACCAGAATCTACCCAGTGACTCACATTTTACGGTTCAGAGATTCCTCATTTTTGAAAAGTCGACTATTAACTTGTTTGGCAATATCTAACAATGCACCTTTTTAATTTTGCGGCATCGGGTCACAACACAATACACCCCAATACACGAACATACAGACTTTTTCAGGGCTTATTAACCTCGGCTTTCCCAAGTTACTGCCATTTTTCGGTTAACCTACATCCAAATAATTTAACATTATAAATTTAGTAGCAAACCAAACTGAATTTGTAATAAACTAACTTTAATGAGAAAAAATTGAGCGCCCCTGAAAGCTGTTTCAGTAAAGTCTCTAAAACAAAGTGAATATTAGTATTTGAAAAAATTCCTTTTTAAATCGGAGTAAGTGAATAAATTATGACAGACCATTTTCTAATATTTTGGGACCTATTTAGGGGTGTCCTAGAAATATCTAAACATTAGGTTTGAATGTTAAATATGCTACATTTTCAATAATATCAATATTTGCTGGATAAATTTGACATGTATTCAAAATAAAAATAAATCTACTTACAATTTTGTGAAATTTGTAATATTTTATGTGTATGATAATTAATTCCGGTTAATAGACAACCGAACTAACTTAGCTTGAACTAATTTAAATTATATATGAATAATGAGTAATATAGTGAGTATAGGTAAATTCTTCAAGTAGAAAGTCTCGAGTTAATGCATTTTTACACGTATTAATTGTTGTATAAATAATATAAATTTATATATGTTAATGTGCAGCTATTTTCCATAAAACAAATTATATAATTCTTGACTTTAATCGAAAAGTTTTTTGGGACAAAGAGACTTTCGCTTAGATTTGTTAGATACCTCCGACTATAACTATTGAAAAGCATTACGATAGCAATAACGTGTATTAAGAATTAGAATTCTCGTTTATTCCAGAAAGAAATTTAGCTTAGGTAATTGATTTCATACATTATTTCAAAAAACCTTGTTTCATTATTGAATATTAAATTTTTGTTTCCTTATGCCTATGGGCTGTTATCAGCAAATAAAAATCCAAGATTATACCCTTTACAATTATTTTTTTTCGATTAACAAACCATAAGTCAAAAGGCACGGTAAAATAGTTCAATTTATCTTTGATCCTTTTGTTTTACCTTAATCACAAGTGTTGTAGTTAAAGAAACAGAATTTCACTTATTTTATTTTTTCACCAAAAATATTTTAAAGTTCAAAAACACAAAAGCAGAAATGACTTTTAATATGTTAACCTGCCCTACGACGTGCTGTTTTTTCCCCTAATTCACTCAGCCATGCAATAATTAGCCAAAATAAAGGAACAGCAGCCAGCAGCATTAATAGGTATTTTAAGGGGTCTATATGATAACAAATAAAGAAAATTGAACCACATTTCTGTTATCACTTACCTTTTGACTTCATATTTGTAATTTCACTTTGCACATTAACATACGAAATCGCGTGGGTCAAAAATAGCTGAGGTTCAAGAATTAAATAATACGCAAATTTAAATTAAAAAAAATATGTATCGAAGCCTTCGGGGTTTTATATTTGTTGGGAGAGATATCTGGGACAACAACTGATTTAACTATTTAAATTTTGAATAATAATTAATCACAAAAACTTATTTCTGATAAGTTCAATAATTTGACAATTTAAAATGTTCACACTTATTAATTATTCAACATTTGTATACAAAACATTTTAGTAAAGACTTTTGGGGATAGCCCGAACATTTTTTGTTGTTGTCCCTTTATGCATGTCCTTCTTCATTATCACTTAATACTTTATCTATCTAGGGAGCTACCTTGTCCTCATTTTTTTTAATATTAAATTTATGGTAGCATTATCCTTAAGCATGGGTTTAAAAATACATTGTTATAAGAAATGCGAACTAAACCTCCTTTCTCTTTACTCGTATTTTCCATTTAAACACTGGTTCAGATGCAGTCAATCCTAGCGATTTACAATGTGCGTGCCGCGCAGCTGACTTGTTTGTTTGTTTTTGTGCTTTGCTGATGAATAGCAGCCAAGAAATACACTTAAGCTACATTCGTATGTTTTACTTTTATATTAGTAACTCAGGGTGAAAATGGTACTTCTATAGAAAAAGTATGTAACAGGTAGAAGAATAAAACTTTTTCGACTCGATAAACTGTGGCACCCACATTTTAATTCGTGGAGAAATATGTTTGAGGCCAACAAGCTTGTATTGTGTACCAACCTAGATATCTAAAAATAAAGTTGTTTTAAATAAAGTAATTATATATAGTTGAATAGCAGTATGAACACTGTTGTAATTGGGGCTTCCGTCGATTCCATTATTTCTAATTTCACTTTATAGATAACCAATATTAAAATATAATTTAGGTTCATTTTAAGTCAAGGCTGATGACTTGTATTAGCGACAGGATAAAACCAGAAAAAATATTTGGGTTCAAATGTAAATAGCAACTAATTTGGACAAAATAAATAATAATAATCAATTTATGGTTCATTGTGTTTAGTCCTTGATTATCTAAAAATGTAGTTCACAATTCCCTTTGTCCTAAGTCAACTTTATTCCCTTTTCAATAAACAGAAATGTTGTTGATTTAAGAAATAAACATTAAACGTTGCCCTTTCATGATAAAGAGATTTAATGCCAGTACTCACCAGTCATCGTATTTGCATAGATTTGAAAAATTTGTATAGCTCCTTTTAAATTGCATCTTATTTGTTTGTTAATTTCATAGCACTTGCCCAAGTTATTCTGGCGATGATGCCTTCGCAATAGCTTGGCCAAAAAGTTTGCTTCAAAAACACTAAGGCGAATGATTAGTTTTCTAAATGAAATGCCAACGAGGAGAATGGATAGCAATGGGGAACTCGCACCGTAAATACGGGTGTTTATTTTCATTACTGACCACTTGCTCAAGGAACTTGGCGAGCCACGGATTCATGGCGCTGGTAAAGCACAAAACTAATCAAAAAAAAAAATTACTTTGCGTTACACCTTCAAAAAAAACGTTGATCCGCTGTGATAACTCTCATGTAAACATTTTACGGCGCGCTTGCAGATTTTTCCCACTGATTTCTCACATTCAATATTAATTTCGCACGGTTTTTCCTTTAACTTTATCTTATAACTTATACTTTAACTTATTCTTTTTTTTCTGCTGTTTGTGCTGGCTATGTAATATATATATTTTCCTTCTTTGGCACAAGCTGTGTGACTTCGACCGATTCGCTCACGACCACGCACTCGACTGAATGGCTGTGATAGCACAGGCGGAATAGCAAGGCCCGACCGATACCGCAGAAATATATATCCCACTACCACAACAGCACCACGAAACGTGCTCGACTTTCCAACTGCAACTGAGGCCGACTCCAAAGCGACACGTGGCCCGACGACATCGTGCCGGCAGGTCCTGAGCTCTGAGCAGCTCCTGAGCAGATCCTGTGCAGCTCCTGTGACTGTGACGCTCCTGTGACCTTAAACGAGTGCTAACATCCTCCATTCGGCTCCTTCGGACGCTCTGTTAGCCCCCAATCCGAGTCCCGAGTCGCATCGCGCACGCCTCGCCGGAATGTTAGGAAAAGTAAACAAATAAGGAGGGACAACAAATGTTGATGCTGCAGTGGACACCACGTGGTGGTCCAAAAGCGTTTGTTTTGCCATCCTGTCATGCTGCCCATGGATATGAACATTTTTGGTGAATTTTGATAGTGGGTACTGTTATTAAGGGAAATATATACTACTAGAGTTTGTTAGTAAGGCATGACAGGGGATAGTGGCACAAAGAAGAGACAATTTTAATTTAGCGAACTGAATGTTGTTAATTTATTAATTATTTTAATTGAATAAGGGGGAGGGGGAGAGGGGGTTTAGATAGCCTCCAGTTACCCAGATGCAACAGACCAGAATGACTTAACATCATTTACGTACCGACGGATGGCAAGGCAAGTTTCAGTCAGTGCTTCAAGAGTACGGTACACAAAAAAAAAAGCTCCCAAAGGAACAATCGGAAAAAAAATTCAAAAAAATATACCTATATTGTTTTTTCTTTAAGATTTAATATTTAAATATTATGGAATTAAGGTTTTAATTAAATTAAAATCGAACAACAATATCATATACATAGCTGCCATAGAAACGATGGCAAAATCCCGAGCAAAATCAACATAGCTTCATTGTTTTTGGTAATATAGATTTAAACGTATACATATTTTGGCAGTTTCAACATATTTCAAATATACGGTTTTTTAAAATTTTTTTTTATACAAATTCTACTATTCTATAAACATTAATTCTACTATTCTATTCTTCAAACATAAAGCCAAATTATAAGCGAATGGCGTAAGAAATATGTAAAGATACAAGATTAAATATGTTTTTTCTCTGTGTATGCCACAAAGAATATCCCCTGAAAGCTGTTATACTTACTCCTCATTGTTCACAGAAATCCACAACGAGATGGGAAAAGCTAACACACAGGTTCCACAAAGAATATTTTCCCCTGAAAGCTGTTATATTTCATTGCGATACTATAACAGACTACCATAATGTTGTATTTGCGTTTTTCACCACGTTTTCAACTACCATCTTTATAAGCTATAAAAAAAAATTGTTCTGATTTTTCTATAACGAAAGTTTGTTATGGGATATAATATTAGTTGTCCCAAAAATATTCTTGGCAGCTTGAGCTTATATTCAAGCTATCTTATAGTACTTTCTTTTTTGTAACTTGTAATAGCTTTTTGTTTGTACAAACATAAACTTGGCTTTAAATATAAAGTTCGTTAGCTTTTCAAATGGTTGTAAGCCTAGAATCATGTGAACGATTTTAAAGCGTATAATTTCATTTTGCAATTCCCAGTGTATCAACATTTCGATACTAGCTTAGATTCTGAAACACACTTTTCAAAGCGCCTGTAACTAAAATTTAATATAAATACTTTCCTGGTTAAGAACCGTTGTTCCCTGCTCATGGTAGTTTAAAAGTAGGTTTTAAACTGAGAAAACGTAAACTTTAAACGTTTTGGGTTTTAAACTACAAAATTCCATGCGTTATCTTATTTTATAAACTATTTTTAGCTTATCATGAGCAACAGGAAATAGCGCAAAATGATTCATTATAAGTACTCATTCCTACATGTGTCTAAAAAATCTGTAAATAACTCTGAACATTTACAGGGGATACGTACAAAACTTATACAAACCCCGTTCTTGAACATCCTTTTACATTCGAGCTTCTCAAGATCAAGTTGTTCATTGCATCATTTTTCAGAAACTTAAACTATGGTTTTGACAGTATAGTGCGAACTGCGAGCTTTTTTAAATTAAAATTGGCTCATTTAATATACACGTTGCTATTATACTGGTTTATTTACGTTCCTTCATTTCGTATCGAATTTGATTTACACAAATTTAATCTTTATATAAGCAGGATGAAACTACAGTTAAAATTGTGTACTCAAAATAATCATTTATTTATTTAAATATATTTTAATTTATGTTGTATACAATGAAAACACAAAATCAAATTTCTAAGTTAAATTTTGATGCGGTAACAATCCTTTTTTAAACGTGAGTCATTAAAAAGGTCCTAAAGTTATCTTACTAAATAGACATTTATAAAAGCAAATCAAGTTTGCAATTATGTCAGTTTAAATCAATAGTTTCCCGCCCTAACTTGTTAGCTATGGTTAATACCCGGAAATATCGATATGCCCATAGAAATCGAATAAAAGTTCTAAGTTTTAGGCTCTAATAAACCACTTGTGTGATTCGCAGTGTGATTTACAGAGCAGTAGAGTTACGGCTTTTTGCGAAAAAATTTAAATATAAAAAGTATTATCGAAAACAAGTAAGCAATTAGCCCTTTCAATTTGGGAACGTATTTATTTCTTTGTAGCTTAACTATTAAATAATTAAATAACATAAAATTAATACAAATAAAGAATAAAATAAACAAATCATTTATTTGGAGTGTTTAAGGCCTGCATACATAAATTTGAAAAAAGTTAATTTGGAAAAACAAACCATTTTTATGTAGGTTTGTACATGTCGATACACACTTATAACATTTTTTTTTGTATTTTATACAACAAGTAATACTATTTTTTTTTTTTAAATGGAAGAGGTGTAGTAAGTCTTGGATAAGTATTTTTCAAATACCAGTTAACGTGGAATTTTAAAACGTGGTAAAGAGAAAGGCGTACTTCAATTTTAGGCTCCGCTTACGAAATCGATTTGACATTTTCAAAAAATGGTTTTTGAAATAACATTTATTAATTTAAAAAATAATAATAATTTCAACTCAGCTTAGTCTGACCAAATATTTGCTAACAAAATTTGAAGATGTCTATAAATTTATGTGGGAAATAAATATTTGCTTTAAATTCGACTGCTTAGCAGAGTTAGAAACAAATTTTTTGTCAGTCCTAACTGGGCCTTTTTTAATTTTTATTTCCAGTGTAGTTATATTTGTTCGTTGTTGTTCCTGTTGTAGGTGAAGTGCTCGATGGGGTCAGTTCGGTTGCGTGCAACATGGTTTGAAGCGGCTCGGCTTAGTTCGACTCAGTTCGGTCCGGCTCGAGCGGCTTGCATCGAGCCGTGTTCTCATACAGATGTGCGTCGCAGTGTTGTTGCAAACGCCGGTCGCGTAGGTTGTTAAAACGAAGGAGTGCATACAAACACATACGAGTCGTAATTCGAGTGCGGTGAGCGTCGAGTCGCGGGTAAACGCAAATTCGAGTGTCGTGTCGAGTTCCGCCGCGAAAAACACGCGGCTGTTTTCCAGCTGGTTTCGAGTGCATCATTATTCATTCTTTTTTTTCGGTTACTTGCAAGTGAGCGTGCTTCGTGATTCCCCATCCCTGAAAATCGCCAAAGGCGATTATATTTTGGAGTAAATAAAGGAGAGCGGAGAGAGCAGATCAACACAAAGCGTGGTAAAGAGAGAGAAAGAGAGAAGCAAATAAGAGTGCATAGAGTGGGAGAGAAAGAGAGAGAGCGAGTGCAAGTGTTTGAGTGTGCATGTGTGTTTATTTGTGCCTGTGTTTGTGTACCCGTTGAACCGGTTCGACACTCATCTTCGACTTACCTGCAACAAAAACAACAACAAAAACAGCGTGCTACGAAAAAAAAACATGATAACTAAAGCAAAATGCAGCATCGCCAACAATAACAACAACAATGTGCAGCTGCAGCAATTGTAATGTCAAATGAATCAAACGGACTGCATCATTTGCATTCGTTTCCGAAAGAAAGAAAAAAAAAGAAAGGAAAGAAGGCAACAAACAGCGAAAATAAAATAATATGTGAAGTGTATGAAGTGCAGACCAAAGCCATTAACCCCAAAAAGGCATCTGCTCGATTCGTTCGATCGGTGAAGAAATTCAAAAATGCACGATCCAGTTGGAATGTTGTTCAGTCCTTAACTCATTTAAATTGAAAATGAAAAACAATGTCAAAGAATTTAACCAATGTTCATTGAAAACTTATAGCACTATAATGTTTTGTTATAATAAATTAAAATGTAAATAGTTAAGTCATCGAATGTTCCAATGGTTTTGGCAAACATTTCCGGTTGGTGACTAATGCAATAAAGACCATAAAGTCAAGTAATTGAGTGCATGCATTGTTTGAAATCTTAAACTGACGCTGTGACTGTAAAGCTTTAACCCTCCAGAGACAACAAACAATCGAAACGTAAAAGTAATCTTGGGGCACTACTCATAGATTATGACAATATGATGATATTTTTTATTATTATCCCTAAAATTTTAGATGAGATACGGGTGTATCTATTTGATACATGTTAAAAATAATAACCAATACAAAACAAAGCATTTCTTAATGCCAGAATCAAAGCTATTTTACATACGCATATCAGGTCTAAATCGACTTTTTTTTACCTGAATAGAGGGTTAATCCTTGCTACCTACCATGGGTTAAACACTGCGTGTAATTGACGTTGCCAAAAAATTAAGAAAGAAAAACAAACAAACAACAGAGGACAAAGCACGAACAACAGAAATTAGAAGACAGAAAACAGAAGGGAAAACTTACCAGAGAGCAGAAAAGCCCTTGTTTTTTATTATATTTCTTTCTTTTTTGGCCATCCGTCGTGCAGTACAGTTAGTCGCCAGCGGAATCGTCGAAGTATGCGTGTGCCTGCGGTGCGAGTGTTTTGGTATTGGTGTATGCGTGGGGCGTGTGTGAATGTGTGTGTGTTAGTTGGTGTTTTTGGCGCGGCACTTTTTTGTTTTCATGAATTTATCTTTGGGCGAAGGAAACAAAGAAAGAAAGAGAACTGCAGGTAAAAGGAGAGCAGGAGTCAAGGAAAAACTAAGAACAAAGCGATTAGCAGCAC